TGATTGGCCCACAAAGATAAATTCTTCAATCATTGTATTTCTGATTTATATTTTTCACCCAGCTGTCATCGAGGGTTTTAGGGTATTTTCAAATTACTGGTGATCATTTTTCGTATTGACACCCATTCTCCTTTTCATTGGCTAATTTCAGCTGAGGGGAGCTGAAGGATGTGTACGATCGTCTGACACGCTGCATATCCCCTTGATTCATGATTAAGATTGACAGAAAGAGACTCTGTTAATTGTCTATCAAGACAACATGTCGCTCAAAGGGCTGTCAGGTGTGTTCAGTGTCTGGTACCACTGGACATTTTTGGTCAACACGACCCCTTCGTTTCTACATTTGTTGTTTAATATAAATGTGATTTTAGGACATAAAAAAACATTTTCATCAAGTTGAAGGGTTTTTTCGAAATATGTTCAGAAATTAAAAATAGGTAATGTAACAGCTGCTGAAATAAATGATCCAACTAACTGTCGCGAATAACAATAGAGATCCCGTCGATTTTGTTCTTCACAGCTTCCCAAAGATGTGTAAGGCATTTTCACTGCACACCACCATTTTGCCGGTATACAATAACCAGAAAATGTCCTAAATTACGGGGGGCAGTAAAATGCGAATTTTAAAATTTCGCCAAGGACATCACTGTTTTCTCGTCAAGTGATTTCTAATTGGGGGCGGTCGGGCTTTCAGGGTCGATAATGCAAGTTACTGTCGCTATCAGTCAAACCTATGTATTGCACCACTTTAATTTGAAAAATCTGTCGAATTTTCGATGAATACGAATGGTCCGAACTAAAGATTGAATTATTAAATACTATGCCATTGATAAATGACTGTAAAGTGCTCAACTAGTGATTTGAAAATAGCTTAAAACCCTCGATGACAGCTGGGTGAAAAATATAAATCAGAAATACAATGATTGAAGAATTTATCTTTGTGGGCCAATCAGTGGCATATTCGGTTTTTGGCCAGACAAGTCAACGGTCTCGTTGTTTTGAACAACCCAGGTTAAATCTAATAGTTTCACGACAATTTTTAAGTCCACCTCCGTCTAATTGTGTCATCGGACGCTCTGTTCGTTTGTTACGTCAATTCCTAGGTAAGGCGCGAGATGGCAAGCATATTTAGCCCTGTTATAATCGAACATGTTACCGCTCATGTCGGTTGGTTGTGTCCTTCTTGTGGGAGGGGAATGTGCTTAATTTGTTACTGGTTGGAGGCGCTGTGTGGGTTAGGAGAGGAAGGTTGAATGCACTCTCCCCCAGCAGGTAGCCGTGCAATGCTGCATCCCAAAAGCACACGCGACTGCAATGAGATTGGCGAAAGTAGGAAGGAATTGCATGGGTTTGGCTACGCACGTTCAAAATGTGCTCAGTGTGTGAAAGTAATGCGAGGTTATTCACAGCAAACGCAATACATGGATAGGAGGATTGTCCGGTTGTGAACAATCTGGCACAGCGGAGGCTGCAACTACACGCGTGTCACTCACGGCCAAAGACTAACCTACATGCATTCACTTTAATTAAGGGAAATTGCGCTTCCTACGTGAAGCATATCCCCGTTCACCAGTCATTTGTACTTCTTGTGTGACCACTGAAATCGCCTCTCATACCTTCCACGTTGGAAGATCTGCCCACTTGGCTTTTAGGATTCAGCACATCCACCATTGTCTGAGTCATTGCCACAATGTTCCCACTGGTGATGCCAGCAGTGTCGCCAAGATTGCTCAAGTACAATTCGTGAAGATGAAGAATTTGCATACTAGGAGCAAAATTAACAGGAGATCGGGGCACGAACAGAGTTATGCAAGAACAAAAGAGCGTTGAGAATGATCCATCTGTCGACATGTACCACACCTTCATGTGGCGGTCTGGCCGATAGCCACACGGCGGTCGTGAAGTTAGCACTTTCTCTGTTCACGTAATTAAAGGAAAGCATTCTCTTGCACTGTAATGCACCATCCTTGTAGCCGACGTCACGGTTGTGTGGCTGTGCAGTGGCTGTTTCTCGATGTAGATGCCTTATTCGTCTAATCCCGTGATTGCGAAGCGGTGCGAGATCGTGTCTTTCGAAGGCGTAATGCAAAAATTGCAGATTGATGAGTTGTCCTGGAATTCTGAAATTCAAAAATTTCGTGTAATGACAAGCAGTTCATTAATACGCGCCAACTGTCATGAGTGACGTTTAGGTACATGTCCTCTGACCTCTATTGATCAAGATCAGCAGCTCCCATGGCGTCTGACACTCCTTTAAGCATTACTCGTCAATATATATCGCCTATTCGCTCATCATTTACTGAATGAAATTGGATGTGTTTTACCATTCATCGAAGGCGCCATCATAGCCTTCGACACTGCTTTTCGACGTATAGGCTAGTAATCAACCAAAGATCATTTGTAGCCAACCATTATCATCTACTCATTTAAGCACTTTGGGTTTTGACTGGATGTGTTTTGCAAACACTCGTGGCTATTCCGAGTGGAAATGTGAGAGACTGAGGGCCTTAATTTCACCCCCATCCACCACCCAAAAGCCACCAATCTCGTTTCGAGTCGATTGTTTATGCATCCGACTAAACCCCACTCCTTATGTCTATCACTTGCGTCCTTCCCCCCTCCACATCGCGGTCCTCTAGACCATTTCCACCGTCGAATTCGCTTAGCCACGCGCGCCTCCACCTGGGGGTGCCCGGCAGGTTTCCCACCTGAGGAGGTGGTGGTGAAAGGGTTTCGAGGGGGGGGGAGAGGAGACGGGGTAAACAGATCTGGGCGCTGCCAATTAAAGTCAATTTATAGACGCGCGCACACTTGACACGCTAGAGGCGCACACGCGCTCCTCGGGTGTGCGACTAATTGCATTCAGCTCGAACAGATGTCCATTTAGAGAGGCCCCTTCCATACCGGAGGTGGGTGTGAAGTCCAAAAGTTCACGCGTGTTCAAAAACAGCAGCACCTGCCTACAAAAGCGGGGCTAATTTGGCTGGTGGCTGTTGATACGGGCACAATTAGCTCTCCTGCCCTGGTTGAACGCGTGCGCGTTCTGCTGCGGGTATGCACTTTGTCTAAAAATCACGCTACCTCATTATCAACTTGAATACGCGTGTGTGTACCCGTTTTCACCCCCAGAAGATGGGCTCCATCTCCACCACCACCACCGTCACCGACACTGATGGTAAATGTCAAATTCTGTGAATAAGTCCCCTCTTTCTCCAGATACGGCCAATCCATTTTCTGGGCATTCACGACAACCCTACTTGGCATCGGACCATTTCGCTCTAGGGTTTGGTTCAATGCCACCGACTCACTTCGTAGCTCCGCAGATGACTTCTGATGACCACTTAATTGCCGCTAAGTAGAAAATGCAGTCTTCAGCCAATACTGGGACTTTAAGGCGGTCAAAATATAATTTCAATACACCTAACCATTCTGGGAGTAAAGTTGTCACACTTCTACTGCTGCGTAGATTGGCTGCAAGGACAGCTGAGTGGTAGAAGCTGAAACATTCCTTCGAAACAACTGTGCATTTTAGTGCCTAAGAATTGAACGATCTTTAGTTTGTACACACTCTGTAACAAGCTGGATTAATTTGGGCTTAACCACCATTCTCCTAAAACTGCTGAAACTTAATGGAGTGGGTAGCAATTTGTTTACAGAATTAACAACTTTTATCCTCCCCGATTCTTTAGTCCAGACAAACTTTATTTCCGTCAGTACTCGTCGTCATAAGGAATCTGAAGAAAGTACGAAGATGAGTAAGCCCGAATAAGCCAATCTGCGTTAGAGAAATCCACTAAGAAAATTAGGACATAAAGGCGATAAGAATTGTTCAATACTCGGGTCTGGTGTGATTTTAGAGTTAATCTTCGCTTTCTTATGTTCCATTTTATAACACACGGAAAACCGTTGCGGCTAGGTGCCTAGCGTAGCCGTTTAGTTCACAGATGCTTCCTTGTACAACAGAGTGGCAACTTCTGTGAAGATTAACTTGTCATCACAGTAAGCTTAATTGTAATTAAAGTGCTAATGCATTTAAGATAAGGCTTCCTTTATGGCTTACCGATTCGCAACTTCTAATGCTCATGGTTGGAGCCCCATAAAGTGTCAGAAATTCCAGATACTGCGAGTAAGACTGTCGAGCAGTATCACTGACTTTCTCACTCAGCTACATGGCTTCGCTAGGTATTATCAACCGGTGACACCTTCATCTGATTTGAAGACCGATGGCTGGTTTGTGGCTTTAATTCCTAGGCCGTGAGACGTCAGTTAGAGGGTTTGCATTCAACTCAACTGACCAAGTGCTAATCAAGCAAATGTTAGCGAATCCTCCCACATGGCGAGAAGATGCGTTAATTATAGGTGTTGAGGAGAAAAGTTCAATTAGTCAAAAGAAAAAATCAAGCAAGTCCACTTGGTCTAGACAGAATTATCCATGTAATTAATCCAATTATCTTTAATGTGCAGTTTCACTGATGGTCATGTTATTCCCCTTCCCTCTATTGCTGTTGGAAAAGGTATCCTCAAAAATAACTCTTCCATAATCCCTAAAGTCTCTCTCTCGACAGATTCCCACCTGCCAGTGGTTTTGTCTTGATGTCCTATTCTGCAGGAGTACAGGCGATTTGTAGCCCTGGGCGCGTCGAGAAACGTTTCAACTTCAAAACAGACACTTGACTGCTCGTCTCGTGGACAGTCTCCTGGTTAAGCACGCTTGTTAAAAAGACCACAGACGTGTTTTTAAACAGGTCTCCTTCAGACCCTTTAGTCACCCAACAGGTGGAAGCGGCCTTCTTCGTTGTCAAACGTGTCACCTGCCCCACCAACCGTCTGAAACCCGCTTTTCTTGACACGGCACCAACTTCTTACCTGGGTTCGACATCAAAGTTTCGGCATGTTACAATCCTGCCACTACCACCCACCCCCTTGCGGTGGGAGGAAAGTGGTTGAATTGGATGGTCCCTCGAAGCACAGACTCCTTTTTACTGGGAGTTCAGGTGTTGGCCGCAGTTAGCGCAGAAACTGCCTCTCTGAGCACAACGTTTGCGAGCCACTCTTGATCATCTAACGCTCCTCACTCACTGTCCGGCTGCTTGATAAGCAGACGGGTGTCAGCGCTCTACGGACTCAACACTCCTGACCGTTAGATTTGGAGGAAAGTTGAGTCTCAATTGTGGAAACAGAGACTCAATGGGAGCATGGACAAGACGACCTAAGGTATCTGCTACGAGAGTGGACCTACCATTCGAATTCGCAAACAGCACGGGTAAATGTTCGGATTAAATTGGCACCTTGAACACTGGCAAACTTACTCTACTGCAAAATGTGCCCTGTCAACGTGAAAATGAGCATCGATTGTGCCAGAGTGTACAGTAGCAACCAATAGCTCTTTCGGTGTAGCCTCGAACCTAAATGATCCCACTGACCACACTCAATACTACATAATGGTAAAGTAACCTAACTCTGTTGCCATCAATGCTGTGCTCCAGTGAGCATGAATCAGCTGACCACAGAGCTTAATTTGAAGGAATTCAATGTCTATTTGTCCTCAGCCTCCTTTAATTGCTCAAATTAATTTACATCCTAGCGGGCTGATAGCTTTAAGATATAAACTTGGTGCCTTCAACAGGATGGGAGAATTTCCAGATGCAACCGCAAATGCTTACTTACTATGGAAATGGTTAAGATGCATCAGAGTTGGTAAACAAACAGCTTGGCTGACGAGCTATTCATCGCACCTCATTCGCTTCTTGCTAGACGAGTCATCAACGGGAAAAAATGACTTGATGATCCCCCGGTCGAAGTGTAACTGTCCACCTTCCGCCTTCAGCCGGCGTCGACGTGCGATTGGTTAAGGGGGTGAGAGCGGCAGCGGTAGCCCTCGCTAATTAACGTGCCTTCAACCAATCAACGCACGCATTGTGTCTGACCGCGTGCGCACGACGTTGTGCGCAAATGTGTGAAATTCACTTCCATCAGACAGGATTGCCAGAGCACATTATTACAGTCACAGTGCTACAGCATGGCTACACAGGGTGAACGCATGAGGAAAACTTCAGCGGTGGCCAAGTCGAGGGGACTTTGTAATCCCTTCGCAATCGACACGCTTCTTGCCGAGGCTATACCTTCGGTTAGACATCACAGCGAGGACTGCGGATCGTTCCAAACTGACTCCACGTTGTCTGCTGGTAGCCCGGCAAGAAATGCGCTTGAAATGGACAACGACCCAATCGACCTGTGCACGCGACACGACTCACCTCCAGCTTCCCATGGTGAGATTCATTTGATTTATTCATAATTGCCTTATGCTAGTTAACCTGGAATTACCTATCCCTTGTCCGAATTGCGTTAGCTTATTTTGATTTGACGTAAAAGCCGTTTCAGTGTCTTGGGATCACAAAATGTCCCCATACTTGCACACTAACTTCTCTGATTTGATACAAGGCCATCTACAAATCTTTCAGCTTGATATTAACTGGAAACTGTGTACTTACCTGATATTAACGGCCAGTTGATGAAGAAACTTCAGCATCAATCGCACTGTCTTCATGCTTCCACTGTTGAAAGTCTGCTAGATATGCAGTAGATTCACAGGTATGACCCTGTAAACCCTTTTCTAGTACATGAATCCTGAATCACAGGAAATAAGACTGATAGTTTACACATGATTCTCTCCATAGCGCTTCCTCCGATTCAATATTTGTTGCAGACTGTTTGTTCAGGATTCCTTGTCCTTTTAGTCTTCTCTAGCTGTATCATCTTTCAATATAAGCAGATGACATTAATTTGTGCAAACCAATCGTTTCTCTGAAAATGCTGGAACATGAGAAAGCAGTATTTTCTACTATGAATGACGGCCCTTTTCCATTTCAGAACAACCGCGTAAATGTGGTGACCTGACTCATCTGAATCCGCACAATACCCACTTCAACTCCTTCAACTTGAATGCAAACCTGCCCTTTCCATTCCCACTGCCTCAGCAAATGGACCCAAGACAGATGCCGCTAGCTCATTTCCTCTATTCTAGAGAGCGGGATCGCCAGCAATTAAACTTGGCAAATTTTGCCATTTACACGAAAGGCGATCCCCAGCGTGCCTCAACTTCCCCAGTCAATTCCACCATCGAAGACTCCAGATCTGACTCCTCAGCTGAACCAAACAGGAAGAAGCGGGCACGTGTAGCATTTGCAAACGATCAAGTTAAAATACTGGAACAACGGTTCCTCAAACAGAAGTACCTCTCCAGTAGCGAGAGAGCAGATATGGCCAGAAATCTCGGCCTCTCAGAAACACAGGTACGTTGTTTTAATTTGTGTGACAGTCTCATAAGTTGTTGAATAGTTGGACAGAGTTCTGGGACCTCTCCAGCTGATGGTCGGAGAATATGAGCCTCATTCATTCTAAGTCACGGGCATTCCAGTTACTTGAACGGTTTTATTGGTCTAGATGGTTATTTGCGATGCCTGTAAGCTAATCGTTAAACGGTGGAACGAGGTAATTGGCTTCCGAGTGTCAAATCGTCGCTTGTCATGCATCATCGCTTCAAGGGGGTGGGTGTTCGTTAAACCGCGGTCATATAACTGTTGAGTGTGCCATCCATAAAAGTAGTGGGTCAAACAGATCATCCAGGGGTCATAGACACCGACATGACTCATGAATTAGTCAGATCATAAAAAACTGTTCACCAGAGAAGCTGTTAACGAAGCCACGTGTTTGAATCGCAGTTCCGATGTGCTTTGTAGGTCAAGATTTGGTTCCAAAATCGTCGCTACAAAACCAAGAGGAAATTGCTCCAATCACTGGAAGGAAGACAGCTCTGCGATTTCCAAGACCATTCTCCACCTGTCGCCGATAATTCGATGGAGATGCTGGAACTAATACGCCAGGTACCCGGACCTCAGCAGTCGACCCAGCCTGCCCTGGTCCACACAATGCCTTCCAAAGAACGCATGCAGAATCTGTGCTGGCAGTACTTGAGCACACACGCCATTTCGCCACCCACACGAGGTCACGCATCCTGGGAGGTTTTCAACTCTGATGGTCGAGGAGTTTCTGAGTCGGCTCTAGGCGATAGAACGTCTTTATCTTTACCCTTGTGATATTCTTACATATTTTACTCCAGATAATTCAATTAATTATTAACGTGAGTCTTTTCTTTCTCTTCGAATGGAGAATTAACCCCCGGAAATCATGATCCCAGTGAAATTTAAGCGACTGGTCATTTTCAAACTCATTCAAGTCCATTTTTTGCCGTGTAAACCTGATCAAAACTTCTCCTGACTACAGAAAATTTGTTTTAGAAATGCAATTTGCTTAAATTTCCTTCGATTTTATAGAAACGATGCTCTGTAGAAGCGCAGTAAGTGATGCTGGCCGAATAAAATGGAAAAAATAGTATGGGGAGAACAGTCAATTGATGCGCATTTTGGAAATAATTGCAAGTCATTTACAAACTTGACTCTTGATTAAATTGCTATGAAGTTATTCATACTCGAAACATCGATCCCACCTGTAGTTGGTGCAGTATTTCATGGATTATGTCTCGTTACAAAATTCTTTGAAACTAGTTGGTGAGGGCGTCAACATAGGAACTAAAATCATCCAGAATCCATAGAGTGCCGAACTACCCTTTCTTTGTTGGAGAAACTCAAACAACAGATGGATCCAGTTGTCGCAACTTCACAACCGGACAGCCACCTCAAAAGTGTCCTGTCCGAACGACGTCATTTCGGCTATCAGACTGTGAGTGGATCGTGTCCACTGTGTTGCTGCCACAGGACTTGGAACATGGGCGTCTTAAAAATATGCACAAACTGTCTTCGGTGGCGCACCGTAATGAGATGGTCACGCCAAAGCAAATTTTTGTTTCTGATTACCTTGTCTCACTCATATCTGTCTGACTGCCTCTGAATTAATCGAGAAGTCATTGATTCCAATTGCACTTTTGTCAGCACGCCTCAATGATCCACTTCACATTAGAGATCGCCACTCAGCTCAAACGTGTGATTTCCAAGGCATGTCTCTTTTAACGAACCGCACACCAAGTGGTTAATGAGATTACAAAATACCAATCTGAATCACGCTGGCTATCAAAAGACACCAGCGGTAGTGACAGCTATCTGCAGATGCCATTTCATTGACTTGATTTGACGGGAAACCTGCATAGTAATTTCTGATCATGTAGCACTTCGTATGTCACCACTAAATGACAAAATAGTGCGAGTGCAAGTGCATAATTGAAGTGTGTGGTGCTGTGTTCGGTCAGCACTCATCAAATCACGAAGTCGTAACCTTGGATAGTTATTTTCGGGCCAACCACACTGGTATTGCCGAGTAGTTATAAGTTCATTTCAAAAAATCACATGACGACGACGGGATACGCCAATTAGCCAAGCGCTGATAGACTTTCTTCTTTCTCGAAGCAAGGATATTCACCTGACTTACTCAAAGAAATCTAGAAAAGAACAGGTGTCATTTGCTCATTGTCAGTTGGCAGGGCAGTCAGTGACTGAGAAACTAGTTAAGTCTCTAAGTGAAGGGATAACACTCGTTCAGACACCTTACCCTGTAAGTCAGTGACGCCCGTTTGATTCCAAGTCACTTTGTCGTGAATTGTTTGCTGGCGAATTCAAACAACTTTGTTGCATTAATGAAGGAGGCAGGTGAAAGTGGTTAAGTTGGTGTGGGGTTAGGATTGAATTGAAGTAAACGTGCCTACACAGTCTACACCCTGCTGCGTGCTGTCGGCAGAAATGATTTAAGAAGTTTATTACTATTGATTAGATTGCCAACTTTTAGTCATGCTTGTAGGTTAGCGTCTACGTAGATTCACTAGAAATGCCCCATTGGTCGTCGTCGTCGTCGTCTCTAAGCGGTCACATTACGACTGAAATTCAATTAATATTTACCTAACGGACAGGAAAGATTGGACGTTGAAAAGAAGGCGACGTAGCGTTACATGCGGCCGTCAGTTCACTTACTCCTGCAAAATTTGTGGGCGAGAGTGTGGAAATGCCACGACTGGCGGGTGTCAACGGCCACGTGCCAAGTCGCATCTTGAAGACTGTGATGATTACGATGATTCCCCCACCATTGTGAATGTAAGAATAAAGGTTAATTGCCACAATGGGTGACAGTTATGCCTCATTTGCGGTGTTGTGGGAAGACGCAGCCATGATCCACCCTACTGAAGGTGAACTGTGGTGAAAGGGGTGATGGCTTCACGGAATCCAAAACCTCCTAAAAACACAACCCACATTTTTCTCGAAGTCTTTCATTAAGACGTTAACATTGGTATCGGTCAGTTGTAATTAAGTGCAGTAAATGAATCAAGTCAAGTCGATTCAGTGGACATCACCATGCTGACACCAGTCCAACCCTAGCAGACCTAAACAATCAACCATTTTATCGACTGCTTGCAAAATTAAAGTTTTCCATGTAAATACCATCCGTGTTTCACGCAGTTGTCCTTTTGGCCTAAATTGCTAGAGGCAAGTTTTAAACACACCGCTACTTTTTTTTATTATTTCCAAGGTTCTCCGGTTAACGCAACACACGATCACACCTCCCCCCCCCGAGCCGGGACTTCTATGCCACCGTCACCGGCACGTCCACACGGAGGGGTCACACGGCCCACCCCGTCTCCACACCCCACGTGTCATTAAACAGAGCGGCACCCAAACGGCGTGTATACCTCCCGCGGCGACTACGTGGTGGTTAGTGGTCAGAAAGTGCACTGGAACGCGACACGAATCTTTTTTTATTATTATGACACCTAATTGGTAGGTGATTGAACGCGTCCGTTCCCGATGTGGGAGAACTCACGTCCCCTGACCCCTCCCGCGAATGACCAGTGTGTGGTGGTGGGTTGGTGGGAAGGAGATGGCATGGCAACCAAAGTCGACTTTGATGGCAGCGTCTTGCGCGTCACAGTGGTGCTGTCACAGTGGCCGAAATTCGCGCATAGTCTTGTCGCCACTGCTCTGAATGGACTTCACCAATTTCGGTGAAATAACAGTTCTCACAACCCTTCATTTTGACTCGTAAGGATTGTTTATCTTTCAGGAAAATACTAAATCATCATGAATCATCATCATCATAAAATGTCAGTTATGGGTGACTAGACAAATTAGCACATCAATTGTGGTTATTGTGGAAAGTCAGGCTTAGTGATCAAAGCATAGACGTAGACGTTCGTGTAATGTGAATGTCAACTATGCTGCAGCGTAGCCAAATTTTACTCGTGCAAATAACAGAGACCTGTAGTAGCATGGTTTTAGCTTTGCCAAATGCTCAGTAGAACTTCAAAACGGCCTAATTTTAAAGCACAACTCATGATAATATAGTGCCGACGTGTTTGTCAAATTTGAAACCTTTAGCACCCACGCACAGGGCCGCAATTCCATCCATCCGAAACTGATTGGTTGGTTAAAATTGGTCAGTTTAATGCCACTTTCGTAATTCTCGGAGGAGATATTTTTCCCGAAATTGTCTCATTCGAGGCGAACTGTGTCCGTTTTTGCTAGTGTGGAGGTCAGTCAATCGTAAATAGTCTGTTGAAAATGTTTTATTCGATTTTGGCCTAAGTCATGGACTGAATGTTCATGTTTAATACACATGCAACTCATCGAGGAAACGGAAGCAAATGTTAGAAGGAACAGAACTCTGTAGAATTTCGTTGCAGATATCGAAATGTGGCAATTTAGAAGTAGTCGCTGTCATGTACCTAAAGGCATTTATTATTAGCAGCTGGACTCCACCAGTTTTTAAAAAAACGCCTTCCTTGTTAATCCAACTGCTTCCCCTAACGGGCACGTGACTTTCCTGTCGCACTGCCAAAGCACTTTAATCTAGCCACAAATGTTTTTCTTATACGTCAGTGGTGCTTTTTTGTCCCTGGCGTGGGTTTCAAGGTACTGTAAAGAGCGAAAATCGGAGGACGCGATAGTAAAACAGACTGCGAATTTCATTTTCCGTAGACCGTGGATGCATCTTTGTTGCACCCAGAAAAAGTGAGCGTTAGTATCGAAAAGATTCACGGTGGGGCATCAACAGAGGTGGTTTCACGATCACGAGCAAAATATGGACTCCGTGCCGCAGGAAAATCACAGCATTGACAGGCAGTGGGAAAGTAACTTTTTCCAACACTGACAAGGAAATGTCGAAAACTTTGCGACAGACCAGAACAACCGTGGCTAAAGGATTCTGAATATCCCAAGTGCCAACACTGCAGCACTGACACAAAACGGTTCCACAGTCGTAGATAGTTGTTTCTTTAAATAACCATGGAACGCCATGGAAAAATGAGACGTACGTCGGGACGCGTGATACTGTCGGGCTCACGAAGGCATCACTTGCCATCAGACTGCAATCAAGCCATCCATTCGTGCGTTGGTTTCCACGGAATCCTGATTCAGGACTCGATCCGCAGTCGTGCCCGCGCACAATAAATCACTGAACGGTGCCAAGTCTATGAGAATGCGACCGCAATGCAAGACCCCAAAAAGGCCACCTTTCAGTGAACACGCGGTGGTGGATCGCTGGCCCCGATAGTGACCAGCCTCGTCGTCATCCGAAAAAGACCGCTTCGCCCAACTGAGGGAACAGCCTCGTGGACCCTGGGGGTCCCGATAGCACGGACCTGCGTAAAGGCACGTCATTGTCACCTCAGTTCTTCCCATGAAGGCGTTTCCGGGCGCTGTGTGCTCCCTTAACAATGCTGTCACAGATTACCAGGTGGCAACTATCACGTAATGTCGAAAATGGGGACTATTAGGGACTTCATTATAATCAAACCGGACTCGTGGCCTTAAAAATATGGCCAGATAAAGGTCAGAAGCGGTATGCAGAACAAATTGTAAAGCCACTTGGGAGAATAAGACATTTTATATTTTTCTGAGAAATATCGAGACGGTTGAAGGCCTAGCACCAATCAACTTAAAAGCACAAAAATCATCTACAGACCTTTGAACATAAAGTGACATCTAGTTAACAAAATCCATCGCTGCCACGTGCTGTCTTGGCTATTGTATTGGCTATGTTGCATTGCGGGGGCACATGTCTGAATTTTAGTCCCGAAACTCGTCTATGTTGGTGCGGTCAAAGCGATGTAATTTTACCGAACAGAACAAAATGAACACAGGTGGATCAAGGGTTAGAATTGCAGCTGACCATCAGGAGGACGCTTTCCACGCAGAGAGACACTTTAGATCCAGTATTCTCGATAACAACATAGTAGACGAGGTATTAAGCAGTAACTTTGTAGAAAGCTTTGACAGCTTGTCCTGCAGGAATGTAAACGCCCAACCTCGAAGTGGTGATGATGATGATGATGATGACTACTTCCTGCTGATCATCTTCGATGGAAGTGGGTATCACAAGTTTGTCAGAGCCTCAAACTGCGATTGCTAGTTGATTTCAAGTTAAAAGGAAGTGCAGGAAGTTGTCCTCATCCAGTTCCTGAGTTTGTTTTTTAGGGTTAGAAGTTAATGTGACATTTGGCAGATGACACTTTAGCCTGCACATCAGGCAAATCACATGTCTGTTTGTAGCCGCAAGTTAAGACATCATCATATGACTGCGAGAGATCGCAGGGAGGGGAAATACCCCACACAGAATTGAAAATCACTGAAACACTCTCGGCTCGTTAGGATCGTTCATACTCGCAAACCACGTTAGTTGAAGGCAATTCACGTTGTACAGCGAACCAGTACTTGCAATGAGAATCTCGAATGAGATAAAATTGTAGAGTTACATATGCTTAATCGCTGTGATGGACCGACGAAGGCCATATCGAAGGCTGCTGACTCCCATTTTTGGTCTGATTACAATGGGGTTGTGTTTTTTGGGTAGGTTCCAAGACCCCAAACGATCAATCCAAGTGTCTGGTGTTGGCAATTAGTGGAACTGGAATAGGCAGCAAATTAGGGACAGTTATTTTCAGACTGGTTTGGAAGGGCTCTCGCATTTTCCCATTTATTTTTTGAAGTTTGCACAACTCCTCGAATGCCGAAACTTTCACAACTTCCGATGACCAAAAGTCGCAATTGGTTCGGTTTTGTTGTTGATATGGAAAGAACATTTAATGAGCACGAGATCAGGAAAGTGCATGATGGATGGCAACAGGTCACTGAACAACAAAGAAAATACACAATTACTCGATGTCCATTATTTGCGTAAACGATCCACTTCAACTGCTCATTACCAACCGCTAATGTGGGCTGAGGGCTTGGTGAGGTTGAGACGCAAGGCTCGTATTTTTCCTACCTTGCTGGCTCAGTGCACAAGCCGTCGAGGGCAGGCACTTCACAATTCCAATAATTTGCGATTTCGTTAAGTGCTGCGCAGACGTGCACGGTGCCGCCAAGTCCTTAGCACGAGCCACCGTTACTCAATGAGCACTACTTAACAATCACACCTTAAGTGCTCGTTGAAAAGTGGTCTTACCTAAATCAAAGCCGATGCGATGAGAGCTCTCTCTTAAGCTACCTGGGCTTGATTGCTAAACGATAAACTCCAAGCCAAGTGATTATTTATTGGCAATTTTCGTTAAGGCTGATACGCCCTGGACACATGTCCTATTAAACACAACTGCGCATTTTGAAGTGTCCGCCGTGTAAGTGATTAACGCAGTCACTCCGATTTCATACGTCGGTTTAGTAGGCTTAATTACGTCGAAACAGAAGAGGCCAAGATGCATGTGACCTCAAGCCAATTTGCATGGTGGTCGCATCTTCTCACAGCCGTGACATAATGAGCGTCGAGTCGCTCATTGAGTGGAAGCTGGCAGTAATTTTTGAACCTTTTGATTCTCATGCAGGCTGTTTGTAGTGACTTAAAATTACATCATATACCAATTCACATGCTCCGAGTGTCCCATCAAGTCACCAGTTAATTCCAGAGACATTTGGTCAGGCACTGACGGCGTCTACATACTTGAATTCTAGTCACTGGATCATGGGAGTAGTTTGTTGAGACTGAAAGCCAACTCGCGAATGCCACTCAAGTTGCCAATGTGGCCAAAACTTATCCACAAGTCCCCCAGTCTTGGTTATTGGACAGAGATGCGAGTTTGCGGCCGTAAACACGACCATTGCTCCCAGTCCACAACCCCATCACCCCGGTTTGTCACCCTCCCTCGGGACCACCTGGGCTACAGGACTTGATAGTTTGTTTGATCTAGAAATACTCGGCAGAGCAGATTTCGTGGTGAACCACTCACAAGTCAGCGGTTGGTGTACTCCGATTTTGCAAAACAGTGGGAGCATGTGTGGTGTAATTTGGGGGTAAGCGTCAGTTAAGTATCAGCCATTGGTGCTGATCGTACGTGAGTTCAGATGTCCAGGGTTACGATGACTGTGTTTGTATGTGTGCCTGTAAGATTTGACTTTACTAATTTATTACCACTTCGACGCGTGAAGGTGTGGCTCACAATAAGATACTCACGATGCCAAGGTCGTGAAATCGCTACTCACACTAAGTCAGACTGGCGCTTCAAGTGCCTGCTCAGTCGTCTGCTTGCCTTATGACTGCCTTCAATCTAATCGCATCGAGCACTTGTAGAGAATTGAAATCGTTATATGGAGACGAAGAGGGGAATGACATTCGTGAAAGGTGGCAATGAGCCAGCAGCCTGCAATGACTCTGGAAGTGGCAGTCATCAATAAAAGGCTCTAGGGTACTCAAGGTGTCATCTACTTGTGGGTTTTTGTGCTCGTGTGATTTATCTGGCACAACTGCACGCCTAGTCACAGTTGCCTGTAGATTCGTCAGTTCACAATCCGCATTATTTGTGCCAATCGACACATCTTCAGCTAAATGCTGAGCACTTGGGTGTGAAGGAAAATAAGCACAAGACAGGAATTCAATGGGCAGTTAACATAACATGAAGATGGTGGGGGCAAATGGAGGCGAGTTGGCAGTACCTTCAGGCAAAATTGAGGTAATTTTGAGTATTTGGGCTGACTGGATTTGTACAATGGCGAATGGACTTCTCCAGGTCGTTTGAGCTTGAAGTGATCCTCGGTGATTTCAAACTTCTTCATCAAAATCTGTGACTACGTTCTGGCGCAGTAGAGGGCCTCGTGCATGAGATCCTGGTAGTGCTGGAAATATGCTATATCATCCTAGAATCGAGAGGTAGAGTTGCAATTGATGCCACATTCGTCCACTCAACTCCCATCAACTGTCACAATCTATTCAAATTCATGATGCTGCGGTCTTCCATTTGTATATTGTCGATACTTATTTCCAGTGAATGGAGTCGAAAAGAACCTATAATTATACAGAGCTTCGTCACATTGGTTCCAGACCGTGAATATCTAGATCCTATGTAATCAAACACCTCACATCTCCCTTCTACTCATGACTTCACTGTAAGTTACTGAGTTTGTCAGCGATTCCAGCAGTACACCACATCGTAGTGATTCACAGCACGACACTTGAGATGACGGTTGATACGGAAACAGCGAAATCCGATATGTGGCTAAATGCCCTTCAAATTTCGAAGTCAGAAATGTCAAGACCGCATGCAAGACAATGCGTTTCAACATGTCATCTCCATGTATACTTTACAAGCAGTTTGTGAAGTGTCGGCAATTTCCGAAATTCACTTCTTCCCTCTACTTGTCGTGAGGAATAACAGCCCACTTTGTCTAGAATACTTGCTGAGGTGAGATACATTGGCACCGACAAGTGTGAAGATCACTTGTCTAATTGAAATGTTTAAGAGCACTTGTGCTAGCTCATGAATGCGGCTCTATTGCCAATGAAATTCATGCGTTTAGTAATCAGTCAACGATTTCCTCTTTGTATTTCTTTATAGCTGCTGTTGTGATTGATGTTGTTGTTGTTGTATTTGAGGTTGCTCGAAAGTCCAGTGACGCTATCCCTCACCTCCCCGCTACAACGCCCACACAGACACGCCAAAAACATCCCCACGTAAATTTCAACGTCAACCATCCTAGGTATTTAGTGGAAACGAACACTTTGGATGACGACTTACCATCACCAGCACCACCACAAACCAAACCAAGTCAGGTGTTTGAGCATTCATGTTTGGCGACAGGGATTGTGTTTACACCAATCTTGTTGTCGCACCACGAAAAGACACGCGTCTGAGCTTCACTTTGGCAGCAGCTTTAATTTGCACAGGTTTGCGTGAGTTTGGTGGACATGTGAAACTCAGAGAATAAGGAAATTATGATTGCTGATACCGATGTTCAACCGTGCATGGCATCAACTCAACTGCTCTGTGTTAGCTGATTGTGACGAGATTGAGCAACGTGGAGACCACTTGCTTCGCCTCAACCAACAGCTCATTCAAAGACGGCTCCTTTTCATTGATTTGGACGTGGTTCTTGCTTGAATATCTTCAACATGCCTTCAGATGGTCGCGAATGCGTAGCGGTGGCGTTTTATCACCAGCTGCGACCACGCCTCGAAACAAGTCCGTCCCAGCGCGTTGATGACATTCCATGGCTGCTCGCAGAATATCGCCATCGATTCAGGGTCGCGTCGACGAAATTACACAACTCCACAACTGGCCCATTGCATCTACTTTGAAGAAGTGAGTAGTGAGGTATTTGTTCTCCGAGGGCCTCGCTTCAATGACGTATGTGAACTGCTTGCATCCGTTTTAATTTGTCCCCATACAACTTCCCAGTGTATTGACGACTGGGGAACTTCAGTCGTCCGTCTTCATTACGCATTTTCCTGCTGCTGCTGCTGCCAATTTAACACGACGACGTTTGCGCATTCTGTGATGGACAGAAAGCAGATTTTGGAAGACTAACTTGTCGTGGACACCACAAAAACTTATTCGTGCGCGTAAGGTTAAAAAAAGACAGGAAAAGAAAGAAAAGGAATCAATTTGCTGGCGCACCCAAGTTATCACAGAAAGGTAGTAATATGAAGAATTCCATTATAAGTATATCTAAGGCTAGACAATGCTGATTGGACTCAGACAATGAAACAGGCGTTTAGTTGCTTGACCGTTTTACAGTATTTGATGACCCAAGTGATTGGCTGGGATTCCTGTTTTGAGTTCGTTGCTTTTTTATGAAATAAACACGGGCAGAAAAGGTTGTAAATTAAATCGTGAATCCAAAAGTGATTTTTTGAGACTGGATTGGGTTCTGGTAAAGCGCGAGAGTAAGCTTACATCTGTTGTCTTGAGCGGTCAGTGTGAGATGGACCAGTCGCACCTGTATATTGCAGGGTTTTGACTCGAGGATTGAGCATGGGCACTTCCACAACATGTGAGTCGTCCTCTCACACCTAACGCTAATCTGCTCCAGTGACACCAATCCGAGCCCTGACAGGATGAATGTGGGCATGACAGGAATCACCTTCACGCAGGGTGGACATCACTGATCATCACACGTTCGGGTGTGACTTGCCACATAACAGACCATTCTGGTCACACTTATGGTCACTGGAAGTGACATTTGCACACTCAGCTGCCTTCTTCACAGCCTCGTTCACATGTCCACAACTGGCAGTTTGAGATAAAGAGTTGAAGTGGTGAGAATGAGTCAACTGACCACAATGCTTAATTTGCCGAAACTCGGCGAAGTGAACCCAGATCAGTGGCGTTTGGGTTTGTTGGATAAGAGTGGGAATGCGCTGGGCTCCCCAGTCCCTCCTATTTCCATTTGGTACAAACTCGAGTATTTGTATAAACAGAACATCAAGTCTAAACTCAAAGTACGCTACCGATTACCGTTTAATTGCTGTTAATACGTGTTAGGAGGCTAAAAATAATTTTTAAAGAAATGATTACTGGCATGTACTTAGGCGTCGAGGTTTCGTGCTCTGCTCATCTTAACCCCTGACGATTAAGATAGCGTGGTTATTTTGACCTCAGTTGCTCAACTCAGGTGGTCAACATTAAACAAGAAATACTTTACATCTTGGCAAACTCCATGAGCGCAACTGACCTGATCGGTGTTCAGCCTCAAATTTTTTCCAAATTGTTGCACTAATAGAGATCGTTTCCCTCAAATGATGAGAACACAAATCTGCGGACAGGAAGTGGCAAACCGTGAGATTACTTGCGATTCATGGCTGCAGAATTGTAAAAAGCCACCTGGGCGTAAGGCATTTTTGGAATGTATGAGAAGTGCTTGCATAAGTCGCGCAGCGGCACTGAAATTGGCAGGCTTTCCTGCAAAAAGGTGACCAGTGTAAAAGTTTACTTAACAGTTGTGGTTTAACAGTCGACTTTAGATTTCCTTGGAGGTAAAGAACATGAAAATGAATTGCGCGAGAGACGACACATCCAGCAAGCTCGTTAAAATGCTTCAAGACAGTGTTTACTCACAAATGTGTTTTACAATTGTCACTGAATTGAAGATTAATTGCCCCAAGGTTGAAAACAGGGAAGCGACAACGAGTGAGTGACAATCATGCTCTTTTCGTCATGTGAGATTTCGGTGGCGACCCATATTTGGGTTTCTGCGTGTGGAACTGAACTGGGAACGTTGAGGCATGCCGGGTATTGCAGTTCGTGATGGGATTGCAATTTGCCAAACCGATTTGCCGGCTCTTGACCTCTGAGGCATTGTGGAAATGAGACGTCGGTGTCTGATTGCGGTCATCTTGATGTTGCAGTGGCAACGTCATGGGTAGGATATCTCTCGAAAAGGCGAACAGTGTGTATGTTGTCTTGACGGTCGTAGACAAACGATAACCTTGGGCATTTTTTTAAAGATACGGCACGTGCCAATGTATTGCGAGATAGATGAAGTATCCAATAATCTCGTTAAATACTACTAAACTATGTCGAACCTCAATTATTATTATTATTATTATCATTATTATACACTTGCCACTGAATTGAAGATTGTCTGCTTCAAATGATAGAAACACAAGGCCGGAGACCGGGAAGCAACAAACAGTGAGAAAACGTTTAAATCAGGGCTGGAGAATTGTATGAGCTAAGTGGGGATTTGGTATGTGTGGACGATATGAGAAGTGATTGCTTAAGTCGCGCTAAACCTTCCCCCCTCCCAGTTCCAGTCTGTTTGGTCGGAAATACCAATGTCGAATATGCCATCGTCATCAAGGAAAAGAAGAACACGTTAAATAAGCAATTTTAATATCTGGAGTAAGGCTTAAAAATATCACAGGCGGATAGACAAACACAGTCGCTTGTCCAAATAAATCGTTGCAGATCTATCACAGTTAACGGCAACGCAGATAGGCTGTAAATGCATTCTGATAACAAGAATTGGATTAAAAGGCGAGAAGGCATTGAACGAGACTGGAGAGGCCACGTCATTGTCAATAACATCGTGGAATTATGGCCTGGAAGTGAATGATGGTTCACGAAACTGCGCTGCCTCGTTGTACCGTCGCAATTTCCTCTTACTTTTATAACGACGGTTCTGAAACCAAGTCTTCACCTACAACACACGTCGAAAATGGCTTAAAATAAGCGACTTCATTAATAGCTACTCCTATGCACACACTTTTTAATGCAGTGTTAATGTTTGAAGTGTGACGATGTGTTTGACTCCTGCGTGATCTGCTTTACCGATTGCCGTTAGGAATGATAAACTCAGATATTATGAGACAAGGAATAAACGATCATTGAGCACTCGAAACGGCTTACCTGTCTATCCGTGAGACCCAGACATCTGGCCAGTTCTGCGCTCTCGCTAGGGGAGACGTAGGTTGATTTAAGGTAGCGCTCTTTCAGTACCCTAACCTGTTCTTCGGAAAACCCCACTCGCACTTTCCCACGTCCATCACATGCAACTGGCACGTCGGAGGCACCATCGCTCGACTGATTAACTAGTGTGGAAAAGGACAGTCATTCGTAAAATCAAGCACTCCATGTACACCTTGCATCATTTCAGGGAAGCAACCACACGTGAGAAGACGAAGAACGCAGAACAGCGTCCCGGTTCTATCGCGACCAATGCAGTATGCTACCACCCACAAGACCTGCTGCACAAGCGCCTAGTTTTCACTCACAAGCAATCCCCGACGAGTCATGAATTGCAGCGAGGCATGTAGAAAGGGTCATTTGCCTAGCCGTATTTCGTCTGACTCACGATTACAGTACTGCAAGAGTGCCAACAGTGTAAAGCCTGATAACCCATTGCAGTTACTCATTTAAGAGGTTAGATCAAGACAACGTAATTGACCATGGACTCATTTCAAATGAGAAAAATATATATGTCAGACTGGGGACATTTATCAGCCCCATGAAACAATAATAATAAGCAGTGAGAAGGAGCCTGATTCGGATGGCAGATGTAAGTATGCAATGTGACCAACAGGAAGAGTGTAAAAAGGAGTCTAACCAGTAGGCGTTGGAAGCGATTTGTGGCGAATACACAGATCCCGCGGACCGTTGTTCACCACAGAGGAAATTCCAGTGTCCTGAACCATTTCTGCTGCATTGCTAACAGTCATTGTGGAACAAACTTGAAAGGATATATAAGACTGAGCATATTGCCTAGCTAGAGGTTTAGCCACGGCGAGAATTGCGTCGATTGTAAGAGCACTGCAAGGTGCATTTGACGTGGTTTTGTATGTCAACTCATCACGTGCTCTCTCCGTCTCCAATCTGGGCGTCGTCATCCTGGAAAGAATGGTGTGGCGAGCACAGTTATCAACCGCGAGCGAACGCCGTGTGCAAGCACAGGCGAACACAGTTCATCCGAATATTCGTGAATGAACTCCACGCAACTAGCTGCGTTCAGAGATCAATGCTTAGCAAAGCTATATAAACGCATCTGCTATCCTGCACACACACACGCCGCCACTGCTCTAATAAATTGGTTGAGCTACTGGTTATCTGCAGTTCTGCTCTACTTTCGGTCGGGCCGTGTCAACGTAGATTTTCGGCCCTGGTGTGGTTTCTAAAACCGCACCGGGGCCCACTACAATAAAGTCGATTGTGAAGGCACTGCAAGATGCCTTGGACGTGGTTTTGTATGTCAACTCATCACGTGCTCTCTCCGTCTCCATTCTGGGCGTCGTGTCCTTGGAAAGAATGGAGTAGATTTTGAAGGCACTGCAAAATGCCTTGGAAGTGGTTTTGTATGTCAGCTCATCACGTTCTGTCTCCATTCTGGCGCTCTGATCGCAGTCTTCTCCGATGACAGTGAAATCAACCATTTTATATGCGTCGCACGTGAGGATAGCGGTCGAACTCAACCCGTGAGTTGATTGGTTTAACACGCGCTACTTATCGAGGTCCACTTTGGAGCTCTCATTCCATTAACCAATCGCTCATTCAAGCGTGATGCAAGATGCGCGAAGGCGAGAGTAACACCTCAAGCGGTGGATCAGGCGAATATTTGTGATTTTATTTTATACCCCTGTCTACGAATGGACTAGCCGTGAAATAATGATTGAATGCATATCAAGACGAGGCAGAGGACAAACAATAAATATTTGGAGGATGAGGCAATTGGTGCAGATTGTTTAACATCCAGCATAAACTTTTATTTAATGTAGATATATTTTTGCAGTCAGTTGTATTTTTTTTATAGGATGGGACGCATATTTGCAGAAAGCCTGATGACATGTCTACGTGTGTTGCACGATTTCTCACAATAGCAGAGTTTACGATGGAAGCTGATGAAATGTTCATTTGATGCGAATGACTTTCATACCAATTGCATCAAGTAAGAAGAATTAAGAGGCGCGGGACATCAATTTGCAGTGTTTGACGATGCACAACAGCGTTTGCACCAAATGTGAGCAATTCAACAACTTGGAATTTGGGTCTCGTGTCAGTTGACGAATCAAATCTTTGGTCAACGTACGAACACATATCTGTCACCGCTTGCCTGCCGGCAACAAATAATGACTTCAAGTGAAATAATGTCGCTTCTGATGAAATGTTTCTCTTTGCGGGAATGCCAAATCGCGCAAAAGCTTCGTGGACAGCTATCGGACATATCAGATCTACGTCGTCGAAGTAAGCCATTTGCCAGAAGATGGCTCTCCTGTGGATCGGGAGGGACGCGAAGATTGTACTGTTTAAAGAACCCCAGGAAACTGTTCACCAGGTGTTGACTGCGGAACGTTCTGAGAGGCAATTGTACAAACTGACACAAGACCTTCACAGTGACATGAGTTTCGTGGGCATAGAAACAGACCAGCCACACGGCGGCTGATGGAGGACAACCCTCGACCACCTCACGTTGCTCGTGCGACTCGAGAGATCATCTTGAACTTGGGATGGAAAGTTCCATCATACGACTTGTCGTCCCATCCAACTACTATTTGTAGCCTTCAATTCAGCAACACGCCTTAGTGCGTAATCGGTTCTAAAGGCCGCTTGATGTGCGTTAATTCCACGATAAATTTGTCGCCTCGAATCCGTCCGGTTTCCTTCTTGAGGGCATTCGTATGCTACCTGAGAAGCGGTGCTATACCAAAGAAAATGATGGTCGAGAATATCTACAGGAATAATTTCCATATTTTCTCTTAATGCTAAATGGCATTGCCAAAAATTGTGAATATGTAAAATCATACACAAATACTTCATTACGCCGAATTCCTGCACATTAAGCATTGTGGTCAGTTGACTCATTCTCACCACTTCAACTCTTTATCTCAAACTGCCAGTTGCGGACATGTGAACGAGGCTGTGAAGAAGGCAGTTGAGGCGGCAAATGTCAATTCCAGTGACCATAAGTGTGACCAGAATGGTCTGTTATGTGGTAAGTCACACCCGAACGTGTGATGATCAGTGATGTCCACCCTGCGTGAAGGTGATTCCTGTCATGCCCACATTCATCCTGTCAGGGCTCGGATTGGTGTCACTGGAGCAGATTAGCGTTAGGTGTGAGAGGACGACTCACATGTTGTGGAAGTGCCCATGCTCAATCCTCGAGTCAAAACCCTGCAATTTACACGTTCGACTGGTCCATCTCACACTGACCGCTCAAGACAACAGATGTAAGCTTACCCAAGCCAGTCTTAAACAATTCACTGTTGGAGTCAAGATTTGCTTCACAACCTTTTCTGCCTGTGTTTATTTCGTTCGAAATCATACAAACCAAACCAGGTAACCCAGGTAGCTGTCAGTTTGGTCAACAAATACGTCAAGTCGGTCAAGTAAGAATGACGCCTGCCTCACTATCTCATTCCACTGCTTGGAATCGAACTCTACCGACAAACTAAATTACGGTGCAATTCCTCGAAAGCGATGTGATTCAGCACATTTGCTGAAATGTTTACCGATTTACCGAAGATGCTCGAATATTGATGGCAAATGCATATCACCCACTTGCAATTATTCCTGATCCAATACACTGGTGTCCAAATTGGAACCTACCTGTGATTACTTGGGTGTCTTTTCCTGCCTGTGAACAACAGTGACGGACGATGTGGAACCGATTAACTGAACTGCTAAAATTAACCCAATTGTGCTCGTTTGCCTAGACGATATTTAATTGGATTCTTAATCCATATGTAATGAGCTCTAATCAAATTTTCCTTTCCACTGTTTGACAATTCCTCTTTCTTTTATAAGTGGGCTTATTACCAAGCGTTTGTTAGAACAGTTAGTAGAAAACAGAAGTCCTCTTCATTTATACGTGGGCACCCCGCCGTACTGAATTAAGTAACAATCGGTTTTGGCAGTTTTCTGCTGTACATTAGGGTCGGAAACAATGCAGACCGCTATGGGTGGGATGCAAAAACAGGAACGACCTACGCGATATCTGTCCTACAGAGTGAGCACGAATAGCAGGTAACTCAAACTGAAAGATTGGCATCAAATCCATAAATTCACCAATGCTGTAACTTGTACACAAATATTCCTGTTTGATTTTAACGCCGTCCGTCTTAGCCGATTTGTCTAATGAATAGCAGTCGTGATCATTGTAGGTATTAACTTCACTTGCACGAATTTAGCGTCGTGGTTGTCACGTGATATATTTCGAGTAAGGGGTGCTATCTCTACGCCCCGGTTATTGAACTGCTGCCCCCCCCCACCCCCACGTGTCGTAGGTCCAAATCCCACCAATTCGCACACTGGAACGTGTTCGTTCCACGGCAGCCAACTCTCGCGCTGACCATTAAATGGCAACTTGGCACAATGGCACATGGGCGTTACAATTCGCTCAGAAGTGAGAGCGCAGAGTCGAATTTGATTTGTAGAGGCTGCACTTCACACGCAGGGACTTCTTGAAAATACTCTTTCTTTTCAAGGGACACTTTCTGCTTGTTTATTTTTATTGTGAAATAACCTTTGTCAGCAAAGTGTAGACAATAGACAGGCGCCACCAGCTTAGCAAATTGACTTGTCAATGTGTACTCTAACCAGAAAATATAACGCAACACATGGCTAATCTCTTTCTGTTTGTTTCCTCATGATTCAACATCTCCATTTAATTTCCCCATGGGTGACCCCAATCTGGACTTGTCATCTGAATCTGGGAGACGTGAGAAATCACGAGCGACATTTTCGGAAGAACAAGTTAGGATACTGAAACAACGGTACCTTAAGTCAAATCACGTCTCCGCTTGGGAGCGCGAAGAAGTAGCAAGAAGTCCTGGTCTCTCCGACAGGCAGGTAAAGAGCTTGTAGAAGTTTGTTGTAAAAACAGTGCATTCCTACTCACTGATATGAGTATTACGACGAATGTTCAGCATGCACAAATGAATTGTCAGACTCAATTGTGAGAAATTGACAGCCGACAATCAGGGTGCCCGAAAATGTGCCGATTCCTCAATGTGCTGTCTCTTCCTGATTCCCGATAGGAGTTAAACGAGCGTCATCCAGATGACTCAGGTCATTGTGTTTGAAAGTTTTGAAGGAGATGATTGGGTTGAATTTGCAAAAGTACGTCTGACTAGCCAGATAAGTTGATTAAGTAGGTAGGTAGATAGGTGCAGTACATGCATCAGCAACGCTCAGTATAGCTCCGTTAAACTAGCGGTATTGATAAATGTTCCTGCTTCCGATGGCTGCTGTCGATTCCAGCGAGCGCATCGTTCAACATCCGAACGAGGTAATCAGTTGCCGCTTGTTAAGCAGTGTCGCATCAAAATTTGCATATTCGCCAAACTGCAGTCGCATAACTGTTGAGTCTGCCATTCATACAGTGGTGGATGATGCATGTCGTGCAAAGGGTCATTAAGACCGTCAGAGAAAGATAGATAGATAGATGGAGCTGCGTAAGTGAGTAGTGCTGAGTGGTGAGGTGCATCGCGTGAGTGATGAATGCTATACAGCAATTCCTGGGCTGATTTTTGGCATTCGTTCACTCTCAGCAAACCGATCTAGCAAGTGCCGCCGCCTTCGTGAAATAGACAATCAAATGACTCTCAGAACTACTGACCACATAACGACCTGCGACAGTAATTGACTCGATGTCTGCAGCCGAATTCCACTTAAATAACTTGTTAAATTCCCAAAAACTAGGAGAAATAAGGTTACTAGGAAGGATAAACCAAAAGGGGCAAATCAAAATTCTCTAATTAGGGCCTCCCTTACAATGAACCACTACAACCGCTCAACTCAAACGGTCGACATCAACCAAGCAATATTAGGCAACTTTGCAAGCTTTTTGGGCGGAGTTGGCCCTGATCGATAAAATTAAGCTGGCGGATATTAGGGGTGAGGTCGATGAATTGTCCGGGGCACGTAGTGCAGAAGCATCGACTAACTGCCGCAGATGAGGTGAGCAGAGTAAACGTCAACTTGTAAACAATCGGCCAGAGTTTGCTAAAAGTGGAGAGAATGCCGCCTCTCACAACCAGTGCCAAAGCAAGCCAGGGGGGAGAGAGAAATCGCGACTGATAAGACAGCTATGGAAACCACTGTAAGCGAACAGATCTTTCACTTCTTCTCAGCTGCCACATTCAAACAGGAGAATTAGGCTAAATCAACGCTTGTCTTTTTGTTGACAACCCATACTATCATTTATAGCCTGTGCAACCTCTAAGGTATCAATGGTGTGTGATAGTAATGAGGAAGATTAAACCGAATGTCACTCAGGTAACTCAAGTCACTGTGCCCGAAAATCGTGAAGGCAATACCTTCGATGAACTTGACTGGCCAGATAAGCGGATTAAGCAGGTGGTTTCGGTAAATGAAAAGAGGTGTTCGGGTGGGTGTAGAGATTCAGGGAACTGTAATGGTACTGTTGCACCAGCAGGGTTCAGTACGGCTCAATTAAACGAATGATACTCATTAAATGTTTATGATTCCAGCGAGCACATTGTTCGATCGTCGAACGAGGAGGTTAGCTGCCACTTATCAAGCAGTGTCGCGTCAAGTTTTGGATGTTCGCCAAACTGTAGTCGCATAGCAGTTGAGTGTGCCATGCATAAAAGCAGGGGATGAAACGGATTATGCAGGGGGTCACTAACATCGTCCTGACTCTAGAGTTAGTCAGGTCATTTAGAAAGCCGTTTGCTGGAGAACCTGCTAACAAAAGGCTATAACTGGAATGATGAATTTCGGACAAACAGCCGAGCGTTGGTTTCTTCTAATTCTCCCGGTTGAATGTGAAAACTAGGAATGATTGCAGGACCTGTTCACTTTAAGCGGTGCCGATAGCTGCTTCATCAGTCATGGTTTCTATGTCTCCAAGCATGCCTCGGCGCTGGTCGTGTAGGCGGATCATTCGCAACCCGAGGAATACTTCATTTGTATTGCTATACATTCGCATGTTCCTCGCCTTCGAGTACTCTGATCGCCTTATCAGTAGCAGTCCGTAGATGCTTTACACTACATGCTCTGGACATTTCATTGACCTCATCCGTAATATCCGTCACCCGTCTTACTTCCATCGATGTGGGCCAATTGCGCTCATGGAGTTTGCAAAGTTGTAAAGTATTGTTTGGTTAATATTGACCTCCTGAGTTGCACAACTGCGGTCAGAACAATCCAGTGTTTTGCCACCATTCATCAACGTCGCTATCACAGTCATCATGGATTAAGATGAGCACAGCACGAAGCCTTCGACGCCTAAGTTATTTCAGGCTAGTAATCATTTCGTCAAAGATCATTTGTAGCCTCCTAATTATGTATATTTATATGCACAAACTCCTACTTATCCAACTCTAGTAATCAATAAAATCGAAAATCGTAGAGCCTTGCTATCGAGCTACATAGTTATCCGCCGACAAACAGTCATCTTCACTTTGATTTTGGATAAATTTTTCAAAAATTATTACTGGTCATGAAAGCGACCCAAATTACATAAAAGCGTTTGCCTGTAACAATGGCAAAATCAGGGTTCTACACTACTTTGCAATTTAGTGAACTTCAGTTTAGCGTTGTTTATTGTTTTGTTGTGAATCGCGTTGATTTCTACCTGCTAATCCGATCAATCCAGCCCCCGACACAGGGCCCCATTATTGCAACATGTAGTCTACGGCCCGGATCCTCAACTGTCCCCCCTAATTAGCACGTGCGTTTATCCTGGCTTAGCCTCAAACCTAGGTCTCGATGTTAGCGCATCTATGACTTACATATCTGAGGTATAAATGCAGACACGTAAACCATACACACGCAACAACAGCACCAACGTGGTTAAGCTCTGAAGTATACGGTTGAGTCCACGTCCTCTCTGGTCTTTTCCTTCATCATGGGTATCAGGGAAGCCCAATCGGGCCAGAGAAAATTCAGTGGCGTGGTTCAAGACCACATGCCGGGGCCCATATCAGTTTACACAGTTTGTGGACATTCAGTCAATCACACAGATAACCCGTATGCTGCGGGATAACAGTCGACTAATATTTGACGCACTACTTGAATGTTATCTCATGAAAAAAGAATGGAAATCATTTAAGTGAACATTAAATTGGACATGTCTCATGTAGGCATTTTGACCACCAATACCTCAAATCTATTATCCAATTTTAATGAAATCATCCTGAACGAGTCAATTGTCTAATTCATAGCAGAAGGTGTGAATTTATCTGAAGTAATTTATAGACGTTTCGACGAGTGAAGGTGTGGCTCACAATAAAACACTCACGATGCCAAGGTCGTGAAATTGCTACTCAGATAAACACAAGGTCAGACTGGCGCATAAATGTGTTTGATCAGACGTCTGTTTGCCTGATGACTGTCTTAAGCCAATCCGCATCGGGAACGTGTAGGGAATTGAAATCGATTTATGGTAACGAACAAGGAAATGACATTTGGAAAAGGTGGTAATGAGCCAGCAGCATTCAGTGACTGTTATCTGCAATGCAATTGCGTTGTACGTGGCAGTCATCAAGGAAAAGCTCTAGGGTATTCAAGGTGTCATCAACTTGTGGGTTTTTGTGCTCATGTGATTTATCTGGCACAACTGCACGCCTAGTCACAGCTGCCTGTAAATTCGTTATTTCGCATTCCGCTTTATTTGTGCGATTCGACAAATCTTCAAGGTGATCGCATGAGATGAGTGGGAAATTTGCAACGATTAGAATTGCTTTGTCATTTGTGTGCAATAGTAGCATTAGTAGAAATTACTGAACTTTAGCAATTTAAATCAACTAATTTTTGAAATCACTTTGATTTGTTCCAAAGTAAAGAAAGAACTCAAGTCTGCGTGCTCAGCTTGAATGTTTTCAATTTTCATCTTGAAATTACTCGTAGCGCAAGTGAAACGTTTTGATCCGTTAATGATATCCCTTGGCACTTGTAATCTCAAGGCAGTTAAAGAAATGTTATTGGGTGAACATGCGCTTTAGTAAGTTATGCTTCTAAACTGTCATGCGCAAAGAGGGATCGTGGTCAACAATCGAGTCCACTGAAAATGAAATATGCTTTTTTGGATTTCGATGAGTAACTTAGTTAGGAAGGGGAAATGCAAGTCATTGAATTGTCACCAATTGGTGCAAATGTATTATTTAAGAGACGGCAGCAACAAGCGCTAAATTGACTATGTACATACCTGGTTAACTACAAATCAAAAGCAAGTAAACATTGCGAAAATAATAAATAATAATAAATAATGCCAGCTTCAATTCAGCTTGAAAGTAAAAAAGTATTTAAGTTTAAAGACTTGTTTAGAAGCAAAACCTTTTAACAAATAAATTTATAGCCTATATGTCCTAGGTACTACTAAATACTGAGATAATCAAAAGGGCTTGGCTCTCAAGGAACAGGTAAAATCCTCAAATTCATGCTAGATTTTTGCCGGTCATATCTTACAATTTAAAAATACCTACTTGATCTTAGTATTCAAAATTACAAGAATATTGCTGATTTTTAAACGTTCGAGTCAAGTTGAACCACCGTGTTTTAATAATGATGCTGCTGATGTGTGACCTTTGTCTTTTCCCGACGTTCCATTTGGGTGCACGCAGCCGGTCCCCAACTTTCGTGTGCCTGATTCGTAAAATAAAATGAAGATTCATATGCTATCCCGAAAGCCCTCAGATTATCTGCGAGAGACAGCAGACGATATTTTTAAAAGTATTAAAGATATCATTATTTAATCTGCTTAGTGCCTCGTAATTATTCGGGAAACGAACATCCCTTTGCCTCCGAAAGGGAGTATATTAGAGCTTTAAATTCGGCTAAGTTGTCTCGGATGATGGCAAAACCATTTCTCGGTTGTCTTGAAGGCACTACCGATAGCATGACCGTCATGTCTTTGAATACAGAAAAAGTCGGTCTGGCCGTGTTCGGTACTGCTGACGGAAAAGTATGCCTTCTTGTTTATTCCAAATTGGGCTTTTTCTTAGATTCAGTATTGGGACATTTCTTCACGAAAATGTGTGTACGAAACCGCGGCTCATGCTGGTGAGGTTCGTGGGATATGTCAATACAATAAATCCCAACTAATGTACACTGTAAGCGATATCCTTAATCGAGGCTTTAAATAAATCTCCTGCATGCTTCACCACTTCATAGATTTGTAATTTTTTTGTTAGTGTGGCTTGGATAGTCAGCTAAAGCAGTGGCGAATGGATCATAGTGCTATTGAGACTGCTTGGGCAGAGCCTCTGAATACAACTATTCTTAACTGGACACCACTTAGTCTTGATCATCATCCCTCAATGGATGCCATCCTTGTCGGTGCTTCCGAATCTTGCCTACTTTATCAATCCACCCGGATGGATGTTCCCGTCCGAGAATGGACTTGGGGCCGAGAGGCCATTCATCAGGCTTCCTTCAATCCTGTGGAACACAACATTGTCGGCATCCTGACAAAGGATAACTCCATCGTATTGACTGACACGCGTGTAGACCAACCTCTGCGGAAGGTGAGTCATATAATGTATGTTCAAGCAATATAAGGCGGGACTTCGTTATATGCAGAAGCGATACTTTACTAAGTGGCATAGGGTATGCTGTCATATCGTAAGCTATGACTGACCCATGGATTAATGCTGTTAAGTTGTACCTAAAAGTGCAATTTTGACTCTACTTTCCCCAATTGCAGCTAAAAATGAACCTCAAACTAAACGCATTTTCGTGGAATCCAATGGAGCCATATGTTTTCACTGCTGCCTCTGAGGATTACAATCTCTACGCTTATGATTGCCGCTTCTTCAAACACCCAAAACGCGTGTACATCGGTCACACTAACGCTGTCATGGCTGTGGATTACTCGCCTTCCGGACGTGAATTTGCCTCAGGCAGCTACGACGGCACTGTAAGTTTAAAGACCATATTTTATCTGCTCTCCTAGTCGCAGTTATACTGTTTGAAACTCCCTTCAAATTTTTTAGTTACGTATATTTCAAAGATCTCCACTACACGTGTTTTCTAGTATTTTTGGAGAAATCTTGTTTTCTGAAATACCAACCGTTAGGATCGTGGTAGTCATTGCATTTTGTGACATTGTCGTTGGCAAGGTGGTTCTAAAGTTTTTTTTAATTAAATTACTTGGCGGTTTCCAAAAAAAAATCGTCAGTCGTCATTTCAGGAATGCGTTGGCTCCCGACGAATCGAACAGCCAGTTGAAGTAGTGAAGATGCTAGACTTGTGCTGTCATCTTAGAGAAGAAAGTGGTTAGGTTTGCCCGTAACAAAAGAGAAGACCACTCAAATAACGGTACCAGATCCCTTGCTGAAGCTAAAACCGACCTTCTCAGGCTAATACAAGAACAAGACCAGAGCTCGAGTAGAGAGCTTTTTTCACGTCAGCCACGTGCAGAGAAGTGAAAACGAAACTAATTCAAGTCAGGATTGACCTTGACTTGATAAAATGCGTAACAAAACAAATGTTAGTAATTAATGTAAATAGAATCAGAAACCAATCTTGGGGGTTCGTGGATCCCCAGCAAAAGTACAGTCAGAAAGACGAATTTTCTAGCAACTTTAATGTTTGTTCTGTCGTAAACTTAAACTGCACAAAAAAGCGGTTAGAGGAACTCGAGGATAACTGATGGTTATGCACCTACCCCTGAGTGGCTCGAGCTTCCAGGTCACACCCAAACCACCCGAAAATGACATGTCATTAACTAAGTGAAGTTGAAAAAAAGGTAGTTTGGTTGTTATTTAATAATTAGACACTTCAGGACCTCCTGCATCAATCTGACAAGCCTCTGATGTCGCTGTTTCATGATTTGGCTGTTTATGCATTGTGTATTATGATTTGGTTAATTGTGCAATTAGATTCGACTTTGGAGCGCCGATCAGACCTCGTCCTTCGACGTTTACCACACACGACGAATGAAGCGTGTGCTCCAAGTGAAATTCACACTGGACGGTCACTTCTTGCTATCTTCTTCGACCGACCAGAACGTCCGGCTGTGGAAGGCACACGCGTCGGAGAAGCTCGGACCAATGAGGCCTCGGGAGCGCGAGTCGTTGGCGACCGCGGAGGCTCTGCGCGACAAATTCAAGGAGCATCCAGAGGTCCGGAAGATTCTCAAGAACCGCCACGTCCCCAAGTCGATTCACGCAGCTACGAAAGAGCACCGCATTATCCGCGCGAAAGAACGCCGCAAGCTGCGAAATGTGATTGTCTTCAACCACTCAAAGGAGCCCGTTGTACCGGAAAAGGAGAAGCACACAGCGGCATTGTACAAATAAACATCTGACCCTTGTACTTTTTTTTCACAATAAGGCGGCGCATGTCATGTGGCATTATTTCCTAGTAGCTGGTCCGAAGCATTTCTGTGTGGGCAGTCGTCCTTTGATAGACGTGGACAGGCTAGCATATTTCTCGTCAAACTTGCTGACTTGGAGTCGATTTGAGGAACTTTTTGGATAAAGGTGCACAGCGCACACTCGCTTGGACTGGAGGATGGCTGTAGCGTAGGTGTTAGTCGCAGGAGCACTGACCACCTGCAGACCATGTTCTGTGACCTCTACTGTGAATGACGCAGCGAGGAATCGTCTGCAAGGCCTTACTGTTGCAGGGTGGATTGCAATATAGTGGGATCAAGTCGTCAGGAGCTACTTAGTTGACGGCTAGGCAATTTTAGTAGTTCTTTCGACACATACACTGGGAAACCGTGATTGGCCTTGTCTAAATTGGCGCCTGCGGATGCGAAATTTCGCATAACACTATTCCGTACCCTTCAACTAGCGCTGTAACCTGATTGGTTGCTTTTTATCCAACAATGAAGCTCCGCATTTCTGAAGACTCGTTCGATTGGTGGGATCTCTTGAATTTTGGCTTCCAAACGAGCTCACAGCGCCGTTTGAAAACGACGATTAAATACCAGATCCAAATGCCTGTTTACGGGATTTAACTAACCCCAAAACAACCTCATCAAGGAGAAAACAGTTGCCAAATAAGAAAAGGTACTTTTAATTCAATGTTAGGCTGGAAAAGGAACGGACAAAAACTTCTAATTGTTGCGATGTGACGCCACTCGGTACCTGGGTTAGTTGTAATGTAATTACCAATTAACAGCGATTTAATTTGTTCTGGCTGCCTACAATACTCGTTGGTTACTTACCACACTTTTACTGACTAAAAGACGAATTTCAGCCCCTCTAAAGAGAAGTGGGGAGTTTCGTTTTGCATTCTCTGAATTTAATTTCGCTATTATTGAGATTCTGGATTTAGAGAGGAATTCGCTTGATTTTGACTCCACGCGTACACCATGTAGCAATCGTCTGACCGCAGAGCAGGGATGTTGACTACGCAGTACTTGGATAAAACTAGTTCCTTGAGGCATCAGCACAATTCGATAAAGTGTAAGATCACACCCCGTTGTGAAAGCTGGTTTTTAAATCCCACGCTGCTAACACGATCGTTCCAAAAACCCAAAATCTAACGGTTCAAAAGCAATATTTAGATTTACGAAGGTCTTGAAGCAGCCCTCAAATAAAGCCGTCGAAATAATTACAAATGGAAAACAAATCTAGATCAGCTCTCAAATCTCCCGCGGTCGAATACCAATGTCTAATTTACTTCAGTCCGGATCAGACGCCTCCTTTTATCCTATTTGCTGGCAAACTAAACCACTTGACCACCAACCACTCATGGAATATGGTTGCGTCTTTTCTCTTGCTTCTCACATCCGCTGGAATGTTGTCCACTCTTAGCATCACCGGTTCAAGTAATAGACAGAGTCGATGCAAGTAAATCCCTCACACAGGCTGTCGTTTAAATTGGAAACCACACACAACAATCACGTGGGACTGAACAACGAGACGATTTTCATTCAAGTGATTTATTTACAAACCAAGAGCAGATTTCTAAACACGGTTTAGCAATGACCGGAATAATAATTGCACGTAGCGGGGTAAAATCGTGAGAAGGGGTTTAGACGCGCATGCGTAGCTGAGTGTGGCCAGGTGTGAGAGGGTGGGTGTGTGTACGTGTGATAGACAAACTATACACAGGAGGGGATGTACCGCCTTGGGAATGAGAGGTGTTGGTGTGTGTGTGTGTGTGTGTGTGCGTGCGTGTTTGTGTTCAATTGCGCGAGAGGGCGATTGTCAACGGCATAGAAAATTCGAGAAGGCGAAAAAAGAGGTGGTAAGAATGTCGATATGTGTGTGCTTGCGTGTTTATCTAAGTGACTAAGGACCCTACGAGGCTTCCGCCAGCGCAGGTGTTGGGCATGTCAGTGGATGCGGTGGCGGCGATAACTGCCTCTTCAACATCACCGCCCAGCATGGGCTGGGTCGTCTCCAACTTCGTCGGCGAATTTGAGGCCACCGAAGCGTCGACGGCCCGAAGGGTGCTTTCGGTCTCCTCCGTTGTGGAGGAGGTTGGTGGTTTGGGGCTTGAGGTGCACGTTGGAGGCCCGTAGTCGGGGGAACTCGGTGCGCTAGCAACCAAATTCTCCGCGTCCATCGCTTCGATTGGTGAGGGCAAGTCGCCTGCGTTGGGGAGTCGGGAGGCGTTAGCCCAATTCGACTCAAAGTAGCGTCGCAGTTCATGGCCCGCCTTGCCGATTTCGGAGTCGTCTTCGTTAAAAATTTGACAGTTTTTGAACACCAGGCGGACGTCTTCGCGCCACTCCGAAATAGATGAGTAGAAGTTCCTAAAGGGCGATGCGGAACACCCAAACCTCATTAAAAAGTTCGAAAACCCTGCATGCCATTAAACAACCATCCAGAAAGGGGCAAACTAGTGTGCGCTTGGACCTATCACAAGGGCCTTTTAGGCAACCAATCAGTGACTGAGTTGTCCAAAATCGCCAAGTTAAATCAGGTCTAAACTGAGATGCATACTAGGCTCATTAACAGTCAAAACCTGTTCTCTTTCCACAAATCTATCATAGCTGCGTAGATCGAAATCAACGCGTGACACCACCAAAGACTAGGCTTTTACCAATACCACAACCCGAAATACACAGATGAGCCACCACGTACCATCTATCCACACTGATTCGTTTTAGGATTGTGGACAAATCCATCGGCCGCTTGATGACTTTCCGGTAAAATGGAACTGTCTTGCAGCAAACTGGCTTTCTAAATGGCCATGACAGCTCGTGTTTCATGAGGTCTTCGGTTGCGCGTCTGAAACAAACACGTTCTCGTTAGCAGAAAGCAAAATATGTAAGCCTATCACGGAGCCAATAGACATAACACAATTACTTAACCCCTCCCCTAAAAATGCTCAGATAGTAGGTAGGCTCAGCATTAGGCTTGGTTGGATGGATGCAACGTGGACGGTTCTTTGTGGAATGCAAGGGCTCCATTTGAGGTCACTTTAACACACTGCAACCCACCGGCAGAATTCGCGTTCAGCAAAGCACATTGCTTTTCGAAGTTTGCCAGTTCCATGACGCCTGAGAGCAGACGTGGTGGCGCTCCTCTTCTGTGTGGTTAGGGCGTCACTGATCCCGACTGAAGACCCCCAGTTCGAGTCCTTTTCGTCTCCACTTTCTCGTGTTTCCTTCTCCTCAGCCGATTTATCATCCCCCTCCTCGTCGTCTTCTTCAACATCGTCGTCTTCAGCACCGTCGTTAACATTACATTGCCCTGACTCAATCGAAGCCCGTTTGTAGAATCCGCGTGGACGTCCACGTTTTTTAAGTCCCGGAGACGCTTTACGTCCACTTCCTTTAGGTCTCCCGACCCGTTTTTGGTCGTTGGTGCCCTTTTTCTTCTTAATCACGAGATCCGATTTCGTTTTGTGACCCCGTTTAGAGCTACGAAATGCGCCAGATTTGGTGTAAAGACGTTTTTGACGGGTCAATTCAAGGCGACTGGAAAGAGACATGCTTGCCTTTAAAAAGAAAAGAAAGTACTTGAGGAGTTACCTACGCAGAACATAGAGGGAAGATAGATTGATGAGACAGGAATAGCTATCAAACCTGGAATTTCCTCGAGGGATTAGATTCAGGTGAAACAGCTTTCTCCTGCAGAATAGCTCCAGTAGAAGTGCAGAACATGCAGTTCCAGCGTTTGGGCAGTCGGTTCAAGGGAGGTCTCAAGCAGGAGGGATGAGCACCACGGGAACAGGTGGTACATTGAACAAGACGATGGGCTGGGTCTAACGCCACCATCACTGTGGACTCGGACGCACCTGGTGTTGATCCGAGTGGCTTGGAGAGACCACATACGAAGCAATGGCACTTGCCCGTCGCCTTGGAGACGCAGTCGTAGCAGAACCAATCACCGTCGGGAATAGAAACCATTGGAGGTCGGAAGCAGTAGGTGTGGTAGCCGTGATCACAACCGTCGCACAGCAACAGACGAGCCTCGTTCTTATCACGGCGACAAATTTGACAGAGCTAGTAAGGAAAGACAGATGGCAATGTCAAAAACTCGATGAGAAGGTGAGAGCAGGGCATTAGTCAGCCACGCACCACTTTCATGATGGACTTGTCCCAAGCGATTGCTGCCTCAAATTGCATGGCACATCGCTTCAGATCGGCGATGGTGTCCGCCTTCTTGGTGCCTCGTCTCCACTCTAGCAGACCCAGTGGCAAACCCTGCTGGCCAGGCAAATCACTTGTCTTGTCGTCATCAGCACCTCCCGGCTGCCTTCTAAGGACGCGTCGAATGTGGGGTACGGTGGAGATCTCGCCCGGCTCATCGTGAGTCGAGTCGCTACACACACTCCCCTCCACCTCGGCGGAGGACTCCTCAGGCGTCTGAACAACGTCCAGACGGGACTCGCAGCTCAGCGGTGGCAGGAGGTAGCGGCGTTCCACGTGGGCTTCCAGATCTAGGAGGCGCTCTCGAGCCAAATCCAGCGGCCAATAATCATAGCGGTACACCTTCGGTGCCGAACGCGGGATAATTTGAATGGAATCATCATCGGTTGCTTTCATTGGTGCCTTGAGAATTATAAGGCTGGGAGTTACATGTCTGGAGTTAATGCTGTGGAAATTAAGCAATCATTGCGCAAACACAAGGCAGTTGAAATGAAGTCTGAAATTGCAGAACTGAAAAAAACCTCCAATTTTGTCATTGGTGCAAACCACAAGGTCGGTGAGTACATTTTTTGCCTACAAATTTACAGCACTGAAAGTTCATACAAGAAAACACGGAACAGCTTTGATCTCTGGATCCCTTGATCAGTCACCTGAGACACGAAAAGCCTTATAAACGCCAGAATATGCGAAGGGTTATATAATACTTCAATTCAAGATGTATTAGAGATAGCAACTTTGGGAATTGACTACAAAGGTATCGTTGTCAAATAATGAGCCAGTAGAAACGTTAGGACATACCTGCCAACCCTTGGTTTGCAAACTGGCTGAAAGTACACGGTCGACTAGACCTTCAACCAGCTCAAGGAATCGACATTCATCCAGAAAGTCGCGGTCCACTTCATTAACTGTGTGATTCGCCGAGGTTTGACCCATGCGCATGGCTCGCTCGAAGTTCTCGCCCAGGAAGATGCTCCTATCGACGGCGTTTGGAGACGACGCCGTCGAGGCGTCGAACTCTCTGCGGAAGGCGCACGCGTCGAAAGCAGAGCTGGCCACAGCTGCGTCAAGATGGTTAGTTGTTGACTGGCAGGACTGAAGTGTCGGTATTCGACCAAAACCGCTCCCACCACCACCCGACAACGTGGTAAGATTCGCAGATGACGTCGAAGAGAGGATGTTTGATGCGTTGGCTCCGCGTCCCTTTCCACGACGGGAACGAACTCTCAGAAGTCGCGGTTTCCACTCGTCTTCGGCAGGATCCGACACTGAACCAAGATCCAGTACTGAAATCAACGGAGAAACCACGTAAGGTAAACGACAGCAGACCACTTAAGACAGCAGCACATTAGGCCAAATGATGTCAGAATACAGGATATTTTTGCCAGAGAAATACTTACACAAAGGCGGGTCATTCTGCCAAGTTACCAACCATTTACGACTGATCTAAAGCGGTTAAATGAACCTTGTTACGTATTCGGCGGAATCTAAGACTGCAGCTTCCGTTTTATTTTGAACAAAAATCCCAGCTACGCAAACGAGAAAACCACCGCCTTCAACCTCTTTTGAATTTCAAATCATCGCTAAAAGCACTGATTAAAATAAGGGATAGCACTAACCACTTGAAGCGTCTACATAGATCGACGACGCGACGGCCTCCTCAGCGAGTTGGATGGACTGTGCTAGAGTGCGCTCGCGAATGCCCCTGGGCGACAGCGCCGCAAGGAGAGTCTGCAACTGGCCGGATCCACGAATCCTCCACCAGTCGCCCTTCACCTCCCCTGACACCAACTGAAGTTTGTCCTCCCCGACGTCTTGGATGCCTTTTTCTTTGAGAAACTGCTCCACCTCTGGCAGCAGTTCCTCGTCGTCCACGTGAACGTCGTTCGAGTTGTGCGCGCTTGCCGAGTGTCCACTAGATCCTTCCATGACGCCATCAGCTAGCCAGGCCTTGAGCTGTCGCAGAGCAGTCGTTAGAGCATTGACATCATCGGCTTGCTTTTTCGCCGTCTCAAAAGCCACCGAACGCAAAAGTTGGAGCTTATAAAAGAGGAGTATAACGTGCCAACTTGGGTCTGTCCAGCTGCCGACAATTGCAGAGCGATCAATGATGCCTGTCTGGGTTGCGAACAGTAAAGTTGCAGTGGTCAAAAATGTGTCGTCTAGTTGACAGGACTCGAGCGCAGCTACCAGCTCATGCTCACTTAAGGCCTGCCAAATGGCCAAATCTGATTCCTGTGCTGTGGACTGGACTGGCAGTCGTGGGGTTGGCTGAGGCGGCGGCGGCGGAGGAGGTGAAGCTCGCCTTGTGGAAAGGTCTAAGGGCTGCGATGCCGTTGGCTCCTCCGATTCTTCTGGCTTTTGCTTCTTACTGACCTCCTTTGTCAGCTCCTCCTCCACCAAGGCGGATTCTAGTTTCATAGGCATCTGAACACTGTCCCCATCCACATTCTGCTCTTCCACTTCCATTTTCTCGACTTTCGGACACCGAAACTCAACACCGTCTTGCTCTTCCTCGGACGTCTTCGATAGAGCCTCGTACATTCCCATAGCGGGAATTTCCTCGTTCTTGATCTCTACGAGTTCCTCGTCATGGTGCATATTAGGTTTTTCAGACGTTACAGAACCAGATGGTGATCTGCGAGGGTTAGGCCTCGGTACCATCGAGGAAGAATTCAAAGCACTGCTCGAGTTGGCGTTTGCACTAAAGTGCCGCGTTATGGAGAGCTCTCTGCGGGCCTTGATTTCAGCCACAATGGCGTCGGCGTCAAACACCAACGGAACCTCGCGAACCGAGAAGCCTTCTCTAGTGCCTACGTGCTGTCCTTCCACGTAGATGCCCCCCACGCTGCCAAGGACGAAGTAATTTCGGTGGAATCGATCCTGCCCCAGAAAGACCCCAGACAGTCGGAAGGAGCACTCTTCAATAGCTCGCTGCTTGGCATTCAGAGCATAAGTAAGCGTTTCTATCCTCTTCTCCAACTCATCCACGGTATTTAACTCCTCCTCGTCACCGGAGTCGTAGTTCTGCATCGCTGGCTGGCGGACATTCTGCAGGAATGCAGGTTGATTCTTGTTTGTCGCTTCGTCTAAGCCAGAAGTTTGCCCTGGAAGGACTGCATGATCTAGACCAAACTTTCGTGCCAAGATAACGCGAATCCTAAAACGCAAAATAAAGCATCGTGGGTGCTACATGAAAGCGACATATTGCTGCGATCCCGTGCTTTTAAAAGCCTAAATTTTAGCATTGTTTGAGCAAATATTTAAGAAAAAGTCTGGGACATCATTACATTTGTAACCTAACGTTTAACAATCTGAGTAGCTAGCTCTGGAATTGCCGCAATGCAGAGCAAAACGTACCTTCGGATCTTAGCCTCAAGGTTAAATTTGTCCCTTCTCAAAGAAACTTGTAGCTCGATCGTGCGATCAACCTCATTGGAGATGAGTCGGCTCGAACAAGCCAACTCATCGCAAATAAACGCCAGCAGACTCGCTAACCGCGGTCCAGATAGGTCAGTTAGGTGATCCACGCTGGAGGGGGCCAGCCAATCAGACATCTCGTCTTCGTAGCCATTACGACCAATCAGAAAGACGCGGAGCAGGCCAGTCACTGTGTTGGTGTCGACTTCCATCTCACTGAAGCGTTGTCCAAGGAGCTGCGTTACCTGGAATCGCGATGCAAATTTAAAATGCTGTATCTGCAGGTCCAGTATTAGGGAAAGTTTTGACCAATGACATGCGGCGAATGAAACCTTACGCACTTCCAATAAAAATTGGGAATTTTAAAACTTCTCCACGCTAACTCACCAGTCGTGGCGTGGGTATTCCGGGGTCGAGGATTGCAAATTTGAGTAGTTCAATGATGAGGTGATTGATGACCTCCAGACACGTTTCATCTCTGTCCACAAACGCCGCCTGCATGCAACGCATCGAGGGGATGGTTTCAGGGTCTGGCAAGGCGAAGCAAAAAAGCACAATTCCAGCAACTGCCTATTTACATGTTGGCAGTAGTAACTACTTTAGCCCGGTTGGAGGCCGGGAAAGGGTAGGTGCACTCACCGATGCAAAAGGCCTCTGTGAATGCATGCAGGAACTCTAACACGAAGATGCAGTCGGAGAAGACTTGGCTCGACATTCGGTTACCATCGATGCGATCAAATGTGGGGAGGACCTAGCAGTGGATGAAAAAGAGACTATTGCCTAGAACCCCTGAAGGTGTCTACAGCAGTAAATTTTTCCACAGAAAGAAATCAGCTCCCTTAGTGTGTGGTTTACAAGTGTGAAGCTTTCACAAAATGCGGCTCAGATCTCAACGGCAAAATGAGAGAACTCAGGCACCCAGAATTCAGTTAATACAAAAGAAAATATCTTCCCGACAACACTACATTGCGGCACAATCAGTGAGGTAGACGGTAGGACGTGGCTGTAGGCTGTTTCCGCAAAGTGCCCTGTGACCTAAGCGTCGGCGATAAAGCACCCTTCTCCAGTATTGTGGTGTGAAATAAAGTCAAGGTGTGTTAATGCAGACAATCAATTTGAACCAACTATACATTCACGAAGTTTGTTCGATTACATGCGGCCACAGTTCTGGCAAATACGTGATTTGCCCTTGCCGTCAGGACGAACTGAGCCAAGTGCAAGTTGGCGGTATTCTTACTCTAGCATTGCATACCTCGAAGTGAATGGTAGTCCAAGATTGCAGGGCCAGGGCGCTGACCTAGCCACTAGGAGTCCAAATTTTCTACGCGTCAGCAAATCTGTATAAGTGAGACACTATCCCTCTAAGATCGACTAACCCTGGCTGGTTTTAATCGATCTGATGCATTGTTTTGTGCTCACAACACACTGGCGTACTGCAGTTTGAGGAACATTTCACCAAACTTTTACAGTGGGCGATGTCGCGGACTGATTTTATTACACGTGAAATGCAAACAACAGGTCGTTGGTCATTGTGTAGGGCAAATGACCTACAAATCGTGTCGATTCCATTTGGCGTCGAGTTGATTCGCATCAAATTGATCAGACGAACTAAAATATCATTGGTGTAGGTTCTGCGTACAATCCCCAAGACGAAACTTTCTACTAAGAGATCAACACCACAAACTTCCTCCATTTTTTGTTAAAATTTTAGTAAAAACCTACATTTTCGCACAAATCCATGATAGGTTCCAAGTTCTTTAGGACAAATATCAGACCGTTTTTGTGGAAGATTGAATTCAGACTGGTGCATTGATATCATAACAGCCGGTTTCTCGAAGGTACTTGGCAGTTTGTTAGGTGGTGGTGGTGGTGGTGAACTGACAAATCTAGTATCATTAGGAAGACTCGCTGGCATTCACGAATCGGAACAACACAGGTTTTGCTTGCAACACGCACAGATGGCTGCTGAGCAAAATCTCGTTAACATATACTCTCGAAATGGCTCTCGCGACGTCACACAAATCTCAAGTTTGGGGTATTTTCAAGGTCGAAATCCGTTACACCAATCAATCAACCGCTTACGACCTTGAAAGATAAAAAAGGACTCATGATAGGAGCAGAACTTGACTTCAGCGTACTGAACTAAGCTATCAGAATCCTACCCATTCAGCACCATCACGATATTGGATCGGTAAGTTTTTTCAAAAATACCAAGGCACTCCTGCTCACTAGGCCACACACAAGCTGGCTTGTTCAATTGCAGCCGCATCATTTGCAAATCGAACCTGCGATCCCCACTCAGGCACATTTACGTACCACAACTGGCAAGGCATACATTGTGCATCACTAAATCCCAACGAAAGCCTCGTTCATTACCTTAATACATTCCATCGAATGCCATTTCTCCGCTGGTCGAACACGACAGTTAGTAATCTGGTAGGTCAAACTAAGAAAAATTGAACTGAAAATACCCTCTCATCAATAAGACGTGCAGCTAAACAAGGCCCGGCAATTTAATATGGCTGGCTTGTTCACGGTTTGACAGCAAGACGACAGTGGCATTGAGTTATCGCGCGGTTAACCACTTTGAAAAATGGGAGCGAATTGAAAATTACGTGCCCGGGCTAATTCCTATTACAGACCAGGCGGTGATTGAGCGAGTGCGTACACCAGGCAGCAAAAGACCGAAAGAAGGTTTAAGAGTGGGTTGGGGTGGTGTTGTGGAAACGCTGGCCAATCATTGCCATAAATACTGCCTAGTTTTCGTGTGCCCGCGCGCGCACACACGCACGCGCTATTTGCAGTCTTTACACGTACTGCCGACCGCCCAACCCACTGCGACTTTGGCCCCACGACTCTGCGCACCACCGCCACCGCCACCGCCAACTTCACGTACATATCCTCTTCTTTCTCTCTTTAGTAGCAGGAGTAAAATTAAAACTCCTAATTTGTGTGCGTAAGCGCGCGACCGCGCGGACGAATGTGTCGTAGTTGTGTGTGTGTTGGCCGCCTTTGAAGCAATCAATGAAATTGCAATGGGGAATAGCCACACACACACACACAGCCAAGGTGATTTACACTGCTCTCTACGTGTCAGGTGGTGTTTGCATGATGAAGAGGCCACTGAATCACTAACCGTGGCGTTGAGAAGGCACAGATCCTCCACCGGCCGTCGCAATTCCTCCTCCACAAGGTGCTCGAGTCGCTGAAACACACGTCAGCAGCACTTTAGTAATTTAGCAACTTAACGTTTTTGATTTAGCAGTGCATCGCTCCTGTTAGCACCATAATTCATTACAGACAATGAAATTACTTTCACCAAATCCCACTTGACCGGCAAATGTGACTAATTAGCGTCAAATGGCTGAATTATTGCCGGGTCGGTACTTGACATGGGAGAGAGGAAAAGCCGTTTCAGGTTTATCTCTGCTAATCTTTTAAACAGTACCAAATCTGCCAGGGTTTTTCTCACGCTTAAAAAGGTCCCTCATGATTCACTCATAGGCGTGTATGCGTGTATAAATGTAGGTGTGTTTGTCAAAGTCCAAATTACTCACCTCTACCCGTGCTTTCGTAGTCTGCGCTTCCAATTCGGCCTTAAGTTGAGTCTCCTTCTCGGTTTCAAGTCGTCGTTGGTCTTCAACCAGTTTCGTGAAGAACGTCCGTAGTCGATCGAAATCCTGAAACACCGAAAACCAAATCGTCATTTTAAGCGGCTTGAGGTTACAAATTTGCCAACGGTAGCGAATCGCGGCCTCGAAATTCCGTAAAGGTATAGAGTAACGCTTGATAAATCAAGACAAAAACAATAACGGTTCACATAACGTCAATCATAGTGTCTAACAAAGGGCCAGAATATCCTTTCACTGCCATTACACCAATTGCCTTGAACGACGAGAGTGAAGCCAATCTACCACCTGTTTTTAGCGCCTTTTACCAGTAGAAAATACAACGACAGATTCAAAAAAGTTACTTAGCAGTGAACCAATCAGATTTAGGGAAATGTGACTACGCAACCTTAATTTGACGCCTTTCGGCTGCACTTTTTTCAGTGTGCATCCGCGTGGCTTAAATGAAATGGAACAACTTCGCCTTGCAAGCGCTTAACTCGGCACAACTAGGACTTGCTCGTTGTTCCCTTAAAATTAGCAAAGGTGAATGATTAGCGGAATAACAGCACATATCAGATGGCAGAAAAATGATTGGAGGAGGCTTTAATGACCTCGAAATTGCTCAGACTCGGTGGTTGATTGGGGGACCGGTCGTTTTGAACTGCCGACGGGAAAGGGAACGAAAATGGCGATGAGGGAGATGTGGGTGCCGCGGAAATGGCGGAGTTTCTCACAACTGTGGCCCACGGCGACCACAGCGACCCGATTTGAGTTGCCAGTGCCGAAACCAGTTGAGGCGGCAGGTTGGGGAAGCGTGGAAGTCCCAAGGGAAAGTCGGCAAAAGCCTTCGAGTAGCCCTCTACGCTTGAAGACACCATCGCGCTGTTGACCTCAGCGCTAAACGCCAAACCTGTAATGGAGCAAGTGAATCCCTTAATGCAGCTAATCTGCAAGCCTACCAACTAACAGGAAGCAAATAAAAATATAGGATGGGAGCAGTTTTGTAGAAGTGCATAACTGATGTTGGGTTGCCAAATTTACTCAACTGACGCAACTGCTCCAGGAACGAGACCCAACCAATTGGAGATTCGAGATACGAAACTACCACATGAACGCATAGTGACACCGCTCAAGGGTTTTGTTTAAACCTTGCATTCTTTCTCGCCAGGGTCGTTCACTAACCAATCGCAGGGCTGGAAAGAAGATCTCTGGAAGTAGAGGCGATATAATGGATTTAAGTTGCCTTGTAAACATTAAGTCATAGCAGGCGATATGCTACGGCAGATTGTCTGACGTGCAACGGTTAGCCAAACTGCTTTGCACTTTCTGTATGTTCCCAAGACGTTTTGGCGGGGGGTTCTGAGACTGTAGCTTCCAAAGCTTCAAAGATGGGCTCTCTTGGGGAAGAACTAGACTAAGATGTGAGTAAAGCCGTTCGACAATGGTCAGTAACAACCAAGACGCGGAATTAAAACCGCCCCCGTCTTGTGGCACAAACAAACCTGGCGAGGACTGCGACGCGGAAGAAGATTTGGCTGTGCTGCTAGAGGGAAAGGTGATTTGCGGCGTCCGTCGACTGCTTCCCGAGGGGGTTTCTTGGCCTGTTGCGATGAGCGCGTTAACCGAGGCCTCAGACATCTTCACGAAGCCCTAAAAATAAGTACAACAATCATTGCATTGATCACAGGCATTGCCGACTACGCTCTGGTGTGTTGACGCTTACGCACTTATGGAGCAAGATCGGATGCAAATGTAAGCGCAACAACTAATCTAAGCTTTTTGAAGCTTCCGTGAAGTGATCATTATCTGCTAGTAAGTAAAGTTTTCATTCACGGCGTGCAACAAACGCAGCACAAACTGTGGCTTAAGGGAGTGGGAGCGAACCCGACATTAAACCGCATGGCTTAGAAGGTTATTCTTACCTTGGAATCTTTGTTGCACTCGTAGTAGTCACCGAGACGGATGTAGGACTTAAAGGTGAAGTCCTCGGTAGTCAAGATGCTGGTTCCAGTGGACCGCAGATACTAATTTTTCCAAAAAAAACAAACGTGTGCGCGTGTTAGTTTGTTGACCCATGGCAAGTTTCGGTGTCATTCTAAGTATTAGAGAACAAACATGGTGTATGCAAGCGCTTGTGTTTATTGTACACCAGGTCATGAGTACTACGCCTTTGGTTTACCGCAAGCTACGGCAAGGCATCGTTGGAAACTGACTCATAGGAGAGCATATTTGAGCACGAATAGTAGGTTCAAGTTTAATACATGTTTATACTTAAGACGCCAGTTTACGAATCGAAATGATTGAAGAGGTTGTAATGGCGAGACTGCTTATGAGGGTAAGAGAACGTCATTTTGCGATTGCAATGTTCACTTGAGTAAACTTTACGCAACTCCTAACCCGGTCGTTCTACGCTTTGAAAAATGCACCGCTTATGAGGAAAGAGTGCAAGGATTCAGCATTTGAGAATAATATTCAGCCAATCAACGCCCAGATGAAACAGTCTTATAGCTAGATACGCGGGCAGATAGCAAGGCACACCATACAAGTCGCAAAGCGAGGAAGACTCCTATTTTATTAAGTAAATTCCCGTTATTCGTTTTCTACATCACAGGAAGCCGTAAACAGCCGAATGACAGAAGCAACGCAGCCGCCATCCGCAGCTGAGACAATCTTGCTCGTTTACGGGAGAAAATGTAGCAGTAATGCAAAGATCAGCACAAATAGGTCAAGAAAACTTCGCAAACGTCTGTTTGGCATTTTTCTCTATCGTAAGGAGAAAATGTTATTTCTCAAATTAAAGACGAAATTCGTGCTAGCGGAACAGGAACACTGATGAAAGAATTCAGCGCGTTGAATAAGACATTTCTACGATACTGAAAAGGCAACGGTTATTTCAATATACCACAAAACACACACACACACACACGTAAAACTGACAGTTCCGTCGACTGGTATGGTTTCAGATTAAGCAAAATTTTACTGTGAGAATTGCCCTACATTTAAATGGCTCAATGTTCGATTACGTGCTGCGACATTACGTTTATCTTCCATGCGTATTGGTAAAGCTGCAAACCAGCACACATTAGCGATTAATTGAAAGCTTCGCGAATTAGCTTGTCTGGCGAATCGACACAGAGGAAATAAGAACCATCTAGAATCGACCAAAATTTGGCGAGTTCATTAGCCAACATTCGCAAGGTGCAGCATGTGCGTGCTACTCTGTGATTGCATTGTTGATCTTATTCAAATCTAGACCCTTGGAGTGCTTACACAAGGAGTCATTAAACCGTGAGTAAATGTGAGAATAAACGCGGACTTAGATGTGCCAAGCCTTCGATCCACTTGTATTTTGGTAGGCTCCTTCACCAAAACTTGGTGAAAGTCCAGTACAGGCAGCCGACAAAGCACTTGGCGCATTACTCTGAAACCACTTGCGACTTAATTGCATCACGGAGAATAACTACAGCATTCTGCATCACTAAAAGGCTATTTGTGTCTGTGGCAACAGTGGCCTCACATGTAAACCCGCGATAACATAAAACACTGAATCAGACATTCATAATACTGTAGTCGCAGCAACGCGAATGATGTACACAGACTTCTAATTCCGTAACGACGGTTTCGAAGCAATCTAAAAAAGCGACATATGCATCGGTTTGGTATGCTACGGTTGAATTGAGATTGATGCTTTGGTGAGATGCGCTCGTAAGGAATTGGCATTAAGCAGACTCGTGTGGTGCAACGATCTATTTTATAAAAACAGATTATTGAAAATTATGATTAGCTGCTTAGCAAGAAAGTACAGTCAAAACAAACTCCATTGCAGGTGTTTAGGGGATAAAAATTGATAAGAGGAGCCACTCGCCGTGAACTCTAACAAAAGAACACATCTTCCCATTTACCGAGAGATTGTATTTTGTATCCTATGTGCGTTATAATAGCTAGTTCATGTATAATAGCAAATACATTGCATATTTTTGGCTGATTACTTGTACATCTGAGAAAATTTAGATAACACTGGTGAATTAAGCAATACGGGAGACAACAGTCAACCCATAGTTCCCATTTAGGCACTCTTTTAAACTAAAATTAGACCCTCGATGGTTCGCAACACAAATACTCCCTGCGGGCATAATGTGGGATCGTTATAAAGAATAAGTGTAGCAGTTTCCCGGCAGCAACAGTTTACCCCAGATTCAATGGCTGATAGTCTGCTTTGAAATTCGATGGTTTGCAACAGGCGACAGGAAAATCAGTAGCTGATTGGACGGATGAGGCGTGGATAGGAAAACTGTTGGCCAGATGCGCGGCAAACCCTCGATTGGCGACATATTTAACTGTCAAATTTAATTTTCCCTCTTTGAATAGATAAACAGATAGGGGGACATGGGGACTGAGTTTATTTAGATCACGTCTTTTTGGAAATTAACCAATTAAATTAACCCAGACGAACATTTTAGCGTAAATAAGACAGTACGGGAAATCCTAATTCAGGGAAGCCTCATTTTTCGTGAATATGGAACCAGGCTGTAGCTTTGAGTGAAATTAACCGACCTAGGTCTGCATGGTCACAAAAATAGACAATTTACCGCAGAATTCCTGAAAAAATTCGCAGAACAAGGAAATCTGCTTTGCGCAAAGGTCAAATGCTGTTTGCTAGCAAAAGAGGGTCCTGCAATCATCTTAAAAGTTACAAATTGTGCCTTTATTTAAACAGATTCGAGTCATAATGGAGGCGAATTTAAATAACTTTGACTTCGCGCCAAATTGGGGCAGTACCGCGAGCGAAGTGTACAGTGATTAGCGGCTCCAATAACCTACCTCGCGGACACTCTCGATGTTCCAGATTTGTCGACCACAGGGACTGATGTACACCACATCTCCCAACAAGCCACCGGGTCCAACGCCTTTCACCAAGGTTTCACGGCGCCATCTACAGGAAAAGAGTCGGGTTAAATGCGTGTTTCTACCGGACTTTGCAGTCGACGAGCGCATGTTAACCGGTGTAAACACCAACGTCGATTGCCAATTGACCGCTCAACAACCCTATCACTCAGAAGGGACAAAAATGGGGGTACACTAGGTGCAGGAAGGGTCCACGATATAACGAGTTACAAATTGCATCTTCAAAGATGCAATCAAGCGACACCAAAGACTCACCCCAACGCCAAAGGTAGCCTGTATCCGCTGTCTGCGTAAGCTCCCAGAGTTCGGGCTCGTTTGTGACCTAAAATATGCAAAAGGAGGCGGGTTTTACCGGGTCTAGAACCCCCTTTAATGGGTCACCCTTCTGTGTGTCGTGATTGCAGTTTGGTCTTACAGTCGACGAGGGGATTAGTGTGTTTGCCCCAAAGTTCAGCGTCCCGTCAGCGCAATCGGTGTTGGCCTTGACAGAACCCAGACTTTTATGTACCTAAAACCGGCAAATGTAATTCATCCGAAAAACCGGTTAGAAGTAGTGCCATTAAATGGCCGTTTGGGGAACACAAGCAGCGTCGAAGTAGTGGCACGGAACCAGGACCAACTGGGGCATGCGCGGGCAGGAGAAACCAGCAACCTGGACGCATTTAGAGATGTCGGACGACGCATCGACCACCAGGTGTCCGTGTTTTGGGGTGTCTTGGTAGTTGCCAAGTGCAGTACGCGCCTATTTTTTGTTTTAAATTTTCTGCACTTTAAACCGGTGGACGTGTGTGTGGGCTAACGAAGCAAAAGCCAACGCGAAAAAAGACGCCGATTGGTCCTGTGACTAGTGGCCCCTATGCTCTCAAACTGTGGTCTAACTTTGGTTCACTGGTCTTCAACATTGTTTCCGGAAATCCCTAATTGCAAATCACTTACTTAAAGTAGGTTTAAAATTTTAGGGTGACTAATTAAACAATTTATTTTTTTATTTTCAGCTGAGTAATTAATTTTGAATTACTAAAACTTACTCAGCCGGGCAGATGGATGGTGAACAAACTCAAAATCACTGGAAGATATCCTAGGCATGAGTACGTTTTCATTTGCAAAAGCGACGAGCATTTAAGAAAATCAACTCAGGAGAAAAGAACGGTGCTTTGGGTGGGAGGTGAAGTGATTTAGGAATCAATTAGCATGGAGATGAATTATTTAGCATGTCGAAAAAGCGTGCACGGTAAGAGCCCATCGAGAGATCGTGATCTAATTAATGCAGAAATAACTGTCATTATCGCGGACGATTTCGCACGAAATTTAAATCTCAAAAAAAACATGCACGGCAACGTACTCAGAGGTTCCGGTTTCGACGTTGGAGCAGAGGCGGCGGCGGCGGTGGCAGTGGTGACGGAGGAGGAAGGCGTGGTGGTAGTTGAAGCGGAGTTAGACACGAGTTTGTCGAATCCATCGCCGCGTCGGCGTTTCCGGCTACTAACGTGATCTGTTGAGTCAGAGAGGCGTTTGAGCACATCCGTAATGGTTCCATCAATGCTACTCGAGGAATCGGAGTATAGTGCATGAGCAGAGTCAGCGATGGAATTGTCGACGTGGGGAATTGATGCTGACGCCCGTAGGGGCTTATCCAAGGAAGCCTGTTCAGATAGGACAATGGAACGACTACAATTGCGTACTTTTGAATCCTTAGTAATACTATGTAGGGCCAGCTATAACCCCATAACTACTGTTCTAGCAGTTATGGAATTTTTCTAAAGCTGAAATTCAGCCTATAGACATTTAAAAGAACAGCAGATACAACAATTTAAGCCAAACCTGCTAAACTGTATAATAATGACCATTTGTAATTTGTCACTGAAACTGCTTAATCCATGCAACATGAGTGTCCACATGGAAGTTGAGAGCCGAATCGCAGCAAGAGAACACAAAAAAACACATGAACGCATAGTGACATCTACCAAATATGTTGTTTAAACGTTGCGTTTTTTTCTCGTCAAGGTCGCCCACCGACCAATCGCAAGGTCGGAATGAAGTCCTCTTCAGTCCCGGAGAAACCGAGACACCACAACAAGCGAACTATTTCAGCTGTGTGCTAATAGAAAACTTTTCAGGATTTCTGCTTTAAGTAAGAAAGGCCTTCCATGCCAAATTATGCGTTTGTGGATTGAGTTTCTATTCTATTTGAATTTGAAAATCGTAGTCCAACTCGTTTTCATTCTCCTTTCTTGATGTCAAACAAAAACCATCCAATCGATTTTGTAGTCCTTGAAACAGATGGTAATTAGGAAGTGGAGGGTCAGGAGAAGGTAAAGGTTAAGGAAATACAGGATTCGAAGTTGATGAAAAAAAAATTAATCTCACGACATGCAACACACTTTGATCGATTAGCTAAAGACATTTCATGTCTTACCCGTATCTTCAGTTCTTGAGTGACTCACTTTTGGCCGGTTCTTCCGATTTCCACATCATCGCCTCAAGCACCTTGAGCAGTTTTCGCCGCTTCTCCTGATTTACCACCTTCATGAAACTCGAATAGTACAGCATACCTAACGTAGTTATAGATTCAACAAACGTGGATTTAAGCATTAGTAAACATTATGAACAAGTTGTTGATAACTACCTTTTCGAGTATTAGAAATCAGCTACCGTAGCATCCCGAACTATTATAGGGGCAGAACTTGAGAATCATCTAATTTTGCATCGAAATGAAACTGTTCATTGTATGTTGTGGATGATGGGAGGATTGGACAACCAGAGTTAAATTAAGGAGACACACCTTCGTCGGAGCGAAGGACGATTTCGGTGGACGTCCACGACCCCTGTGAGGTTGGCTTTCACGATTAGTCGGCGCAACGGCATGCGACCGATGCGGGAGGTGGGAAGGTGGCTTTGGTCCAGCCTGCTTCAGCTGTCCAGGATGCTGTTGGTGGTGAAGGGCTGCCAGAGCCGCGGCGGCGAACGACGCGGTCGTCAGACTGGCATTGTCGCCGGCACCTGGCAGGGTGAACCTCGGTCCTAGTCCCGACATTTGCGAGGTGATGGCCGGATGAGAGGAGGAGGAGGTCGCGGAGACTGATGACGACGAGGGGGCCGCTTCCGGTGGATTCAGGGACGTAGATGGCGGTATCTGAGTCTCCTTTGTCTGTATTTGGGCTGTACTAGGAGTCTACAACGCGAGAATTTTGAGTGATCTTACTGTTTTAACTGCCGTATGCACAACGATTCCACTCGCAAACAAGAAAAACTAGTCTGCTTTAAATTGCCTTAGCGGTCTCCTGTTTTCACCGGAATTGACAAATGCGACACCCTTCCAAGCAAACCACAAAGCCTCCATCGGGTCAACAGTTTTTGTCAGTGGAAATTTTCCATATCGCACTAAATCGAAGGTCCATATGTTGGTTGTAGAGCTACGCGAAAAGAGTCGACACGACGACATGGAAGTAAAAATTCGAGAGACGGTGGCATGCTTTTGACCTAGCTGCACGCTAAATATATAAAAGTGGACGTCTGTCGCGTCTCGTATGTCTTTTGGTCAAAACTGGCCTGCCGAGTTCGCTGACCTTTGTTCGGACTAAATCACTGGTTGCTACGGCGGATGACAATTGAGGGCCAACGTAGACACTTAAGCGTTGTCTTTTAAAAAACCTACAACCCTTAGCGCGAAAATAAGTTTGTTGATTTAAGTGGAATTGCTTAAACATACAAGTAGGCTAGTTAAAAGGGAGACTCATTGGTTAGCAGTGGACTTTGAGAAGTCAAAAACAAGTTTTGGGCAATGCAGGGTGGCAGCAAAACAGGGACATTGGTCGCAGGCAAGGAGAACAAACCAATCAACGGCGTAATGAAGGTTAGAAGCAGAAACCAGGAAAGCGGTGAGAGTTAGTTGCGACATCGCTTGATCACCCCTAGTTGTACACTTGGTTTAAACGCGCTTTCAAGGTCATCAGAGGGATGTGCTGTTGCCACGTGGCATTAGCGATATCGTTCCTTCGTTGCGCGTCTTTCTGTCAACATAGTTTTTCATCTAAATTAGAATCGAATTAAAACTTACCTGCGGAAGCACCTTTGAGGCAAATAATGGACTGCTTTAAAAGAGTGTGGCAGGCCAGAGAGAATTTGCAGAAAAAGCTACCCCTAGCACGACTAAAGCGTGCATCGGCGTCACCAAAGCAACTAACAGGTGTGCATCAGAATGATCGTGGTCGTATTTGACCTGATGAGGTGAATCTCTTGTGTGCCAGTGTGTGTTCACAGATTGAACACAAGCTTCGTCAGGTTACAACTAGACGTGGCCTGCGCGAGCAGATCGTGTCTAGTCTTCCAATTCGGCAACGCGAAACGAGCACCAAACGCAACGATAAACACGAAGAACCTACCCGCGAAGACGAGGAAGACGACGGCGTTGAGGCACTGCTGCTCTGATTGAGGCCCTGCGTTAGTTTGGCCAGCACTGAACTAAAGGACTCGTCGGCACACGAAGACGCATTGGTCTCATCCACGGACTCACCGCGATACGAGCCTGAAAGGATTAAACCAATGCGACTGGTTAATTCAAAGCTGCGTCTTAGTCATGTGGTACCCAAAAAGAGAGGCAGGCACAGGATCTTCCAACTGTGATGGACTACCTCGGAAGTGGCATTGGTAGTACCTGGAATTCGATTCATGCAAATACCACGTCAAACGACCGTGGCACTAAGAGGTGGTTGATGATTTCAACTGTGTATCAGTACAATTTATCGACTGCTTCAAGTCTCGGTGGCATCAGCTGAATAAAGTTGCTGCAATCAGAGTTTTCTAAGCCACCAAGGATAATCATTTAATAGGTATTGTTGTGGTTTGAGTAAAAATGCTACCACAATTTCTTGCTAAAATGGTGGCGAAATTATACCTCAAGGCACTTCATAAGGTGACTAAGGGAACAATAGAGCGCAGTAACAAGGCAATTGAAATTCCTACAACTCATCACTAAACCACCGCCGTAACTAAACTCTGCAACAGATTATGACCATTTGGTGTTGACCAAGTCGCGAATTATTTAAGTGTTAGTTTTTAGTGTGCGTTGAGAGTTTTAGGTAAAAGCAGCACAAATCCAGCTACAGCATAAAAGGGCAAATTTAAAGAGGAACAATAAGAGTGTTTCTTTAATTTCACATGAGTGCAGCAAATCGGGAATCATTGCCTCGTTAAGTAGACCAAATGGGAGTCGGTGAATGTCGAGGGAATGCCGACTAGCGGATCCGGCGGAGAAATGTGCAAATCAAATTCGTAGGAAACTGTTCCATGGGGCAATTCTTTAGACTGCCCCCCAAATGGATTCTGTTGTATTCTTGAGTGTACGCTCTCATATCTATGTAGCTAATTCCTCGATGCTTTTGTGATTGAGTGGAGTCCTTCCCTTGGAGTCAAATCAATTACCGTCTTTTAAGGTGAAATACGGTACTAGAATAAGTACACTTCAGGTGATTGAAAAGTTTTTTTTCCGCCATTCTTATCAAACACCTGAAAAGTTGGCATCTACTCAAACTAAGTCGCTCTCCATGGGAACTGGTTTCGGAACAAGTTGTGAGGCTGGCGATTTATTTTTCCCCATTCGCTGGTTGAAATTTGTTGCTATTGGTGCACCCAAATGGTAGCCTTATTTAAACTTCAAAATCTGAATGTGCAACGACTTACTTAGCTCCCGACGTTGCTGCATGGACATCAGGTTGTTGGACCCAGGCTGGCCCAGGAGAGCGGCCAACGCCAGAGCCATCTGCTGTTGCTGATGCTGGTGGTTGGAGACGTCAAGGTTGGCCAGTCCCGCTTGCATAAGGGCGTGCTGTGCTAACAGATTCGGGTCGAGAGCGATGTTGGCGGCTTTGGGGGCATATGGTGGCGTTGTCTGTTGTCGAACACCTGGAGCTATATTCGACCCATGCTGCTGGTTGTACATCAGGGAGGCTGAAAAGAGTTCAAACGCTTGTTTTAGCGCACCAACTAACCTGCCTGACAGTTGGACAGAAATCTAAGCTGCTCAAACGCAGGATCATGCAGTCACTTTAGCGTCTATCAGCTGGCTAGGTTGGATTGACGGTCTTGGATGGAATCGTCTCGAGATTTTTCACTACCACGGCGGCATATTTTGAAGTTAAGCTATAATTCGGTGAGTGTTTGCCGTGCCGTCACTGAAAACGCGTGTCTGAGACTACAAGAAATACAACCATTGAAATCGGCTTTTCTAACGAGCACCATGGCACATTTATTCTACCTGCTAATTCCAGAAGTCACTTTCGACACAGATATGGTTTTCTTTAATGAAGGTAGTTGTCTGGCGATGTAGAGGACACATCGGCGCCAGGAAACACTTAGAATCGCAAGAGGAACCAACCACTTCGTGGAACAAAAGACATGGCTTCTCCTCAAAATAAAATTGACCATGAATAGCCTTACAGTTGATCACAAATGAGGAAGTCACGCCTCAATGTGGAGCATCAAATTCAGCTTAGGCTGTTGCTGGTTATCATGTGCTCTGGAATAAGCGGTCAAACGTTATCCGCCAATGAAATTAAGCAAACTCACCTCGGTTTAAGGGCACAATTTTTTTTATACTGAAAGGTAACAAATAAAAAAAAACAAGCTTCCATTTTTGAAAAAGGCAAGGGTGCCACATGGTGGTCAACATGGGGGATGACTAATTTTCGCGAATTTAAGCCAGCAAATCTGCCAGGCAGCCGACCAATGGCCAGAGGCAGCTGAATTGTGGCACAATAAACAACGATCTTTCGAAAAAAAGTGAAGTTAAAGAATGCATGAAATGGTGCGTTGACGTTCATTGTGATGTGGTTTTTGACAAAGTACAGTCTGCTAACGACTGGCGTTTTTACAGACTGCGGGATCTCACAAAATGCACTGCATTCAAACATGGAGGCAGATGGAATTTGCAAGCCGGAGAAAATGATGGGGCTTGTATTGACGCATTGTACGTCAAAGCATCCCACGCAAATTGCCCTTCGCCTTTCCGCAAGCATCTTGTTATTTGCCAGCAAACTCTCGCAGATATTTGCCGCCATTAAGTGAAATAGTGCCGTCCAGCGTCTTGCACCGCTTCCGGGCAAGCCTCAATGTTTGGGGTGTGGTGCGCTGAGAATGAGACTGCTTGTTTGCGTTAACGGGAACCACTATTGTTTGGGGAAACAGTTGAGTGCTCTTACGTTGCCTTAGGTGTGTTCTACTAGCGCAGGTGTCTCACGATAGTTTAAAAGTCTAATTTTAAGTACGCGATCCAATTCTCACAGATATTTTTCCGAGCTTAAGATTATGTATAAAATAAAACATTGCTGCGAGCTTTCGCAGTTTTGGAAAGATCAGATGCAAGGATTCAGAATTGAGAACGACAAATCTACCTGAGTTACATAAACTCTTACGAGTTCCATCGAGGAAAAAGTGCTTCTAAAGCACGAGGGAATCAATTTGCAGTGTTCTTGGTGCCGATCACATTGACCAGCCGCGAGTCGCACAGCAGCCTCAAAATTTGCAAGTTATACTGGATAAAGACTCAGCACAACAAGAGTTTGCAGCTTAGTTAGGAGTCACCCAAACACCTATTTCCGAAAACAAGGAAGCTGGGTCCTCTCACTTGTATTGATCGAACATAACCTCGACCAAAATTTGGCATTTCTTTACTGCCTGCTCCCCGGCAACAAAAAGGACTTCTGATGTGTAAGGGCGTGGGTAGATCCAGGGCAACGCAGTACATCGCCACTGAGACATAAAAGTCGCTTGAAGAAGGTTCTCCTGTGTATCTGGTGGGACATGGAGGCTGAACCTAATCGCAAACTCCTGGAAACTGGTCACTGGACGGAGATTGCTTAAGGCTACAGCCGAGAGTTGAACAAACTGATCGAAGAACTTGATCAGAAAAAGCCATTTACTAGGCAAGAAAGAGGGCAAATCACACTGCTGCTGCTGCTGCTGCATGACAACACCCGATCACTCCACGTTGTTCAGGAGACTCAGAAGAACCTCTTGAACCGGGGGACGCGAAGTCCTCCCAGACGCGACATATTCACCAGACCTGGTCGGACGATGTGCGTAAATTCGACGATGAATTTAGTGCTTCAACTCCTGCATTCGAACGTTACCTGAGCGATGGCTCAAGGTCTTCAAAAAATATGGACAATCCTTCCAGGATTAAGTCCCTTGTTCTCTGCTTTTTATTGAATAACTTTGCTGAAGCATCAGTACAAATTAAGTCATGCGCCTAGTATAATGTTGCAAAGTGCAATGGAGCAATCGACACGTATTGCCTTTTGCAGATGTAATGATTGGTCGCTGTGGCCGAATTCAGATAGCGTTCACCATGAGCACCGCTATTCCATTCGGCCAATTGTAAACGGCGCTCAAAATTAAAACAAAAGTCGTGACTCTGCTAACCACGATTTGAACACTTACAGAGCAAAGTGGACGCTGCGAATGGATCCATAGAATTTGGGGAAGCCGTGGCGTTGACCAGGGAGTTCACTACCTCTGCTGGAAGCGGTTGTCCCAGTCCACTGGATGCTGCAACGCCAGACGAATGGTTGTGCTGCAGCACAGCAGGCGGAATAGTTCCATTGGAGGCGAACACACTGGCCAAGTAATCCAAGCTAAGGTCGTTTCGCATTGTCGATGCAGAAGTCGAGTCCGCTGGGTACTGGACACCGTTGGTGTTCGCGGAGACTTTTGTGATAGACGAAGAGGCGCCAGAAGCGTTGCTTTGTTGCCCCGCGGTGGAATGGTAGACTGACATTCTAGTCTGGGTCGTCATAAAAAACACAAGAGTAGTTATTATCTCGTCTTCGCAGTCCCCTATGTGAAAACAATGGCGTGAATGAAAAGGCAAAGTCTGTCCGCAAACTAGAGTAGTCAATAAAGAGGTATTGCCCAAAAGCGCTCATCCAATGAAATTCGACTCATCTGAGCATGTTTTGTCAAATCTGGATACTAATTACGATTCTAGCAACGTTCAAGGGAAGCGCCCAATTCAACACAGATGATACTGATTTATTTAACAACTCTCAATGTAGATGGGAAAAATTTCTGTTGGTGAATTGTGTAGATGCTAATAAGCACCACTTAGCGTCCTGTAGGGCGTCTGATGGAGACAGGACATGCGAGAGAGCGTCCAAAATGGGGTTTACGATGTGACTAAGCCTGGGAAAATGCGAGCTGGGAGAGTCAGTGTTATAGGGCGCTATTGTTTTGCAGGAAAAATAAAGTGATGCGAATTCTCTAGTTCCAGAAATCGCATTGTTTAATGATTGGTGGAAACGGTTCACCACAGCACCGGATCGAAGTTCACCGGTAGTGCGATTTTTAGCTGGATTGTTTGGCGTTCAAGGAAATCACACAACTTTTTCTACTACCAACAAACACAGAATCAAGGGTAGCTGAGTACTATGGGAACTTTGAGTACTTTAAATCCTTCCTCCGTTAAATTTGCATAGTCGTTAGTGAGAATATTATAAGCAACTATGGACTAATTCAAATACTGCATGAATTTTGGCCAAGGCTGATGAGATCTTTGCAAATTTCACAAAACTGGAAATTTTATTTGGGGAACTTAGTGTGAGAATAAGCTACTGAATGTAGAGGGATTTTGAGAACTCTTAAGGTTTCAGAGTTAGACTTGAGTCAATTTACGGTGTAACAAGACTCGCATTTCAGTGTTAAGGCGTTAACACTCACAATACAGGGTTGCAAATAATTGTCGGAGTCGTAGTTCACAGAGAAAATTCTGACACAAAACGCGTTTTGGATTTGCGCCGCACTTCTGTGACACTGGGTAGCAACCAGTCAAGCCAACGGCTCCAATCACCGCAACATAGAGTTTGGTCAGGACGGACTAGAGGTTAATAATTACGTTTCTAATAATACATAAAGTTGGCTGCGCTTAATTAACTACCATGGTGAGTTGGAAGCTAAGAAGACTTCACACGGCCTCGGAAACTCTCTGGCATTTGTGCAAAAATGCAGTTTTTTTTCAAGTTATTCGTGCCAAAATCAGCTGTTTCGCAAAGCCATCCACCCGATCAGCTGGTGAGTATCGATCGATCATGCATCAGCGCGTGTACACATGAACGCGTGTTGATATGACAACCGGTTTCTGGGATTGCATTTAAAACAAATAATGGCGTTAACATCATCATCATGCCCTACCACTTGTGTTGGCATAAACGCGTCTAAGTAGTGATGGCGGTGATGGTGGCGGCAGCACGGCGCTTACGCGTGCGCACTTATGTATAAGCGCAGACGAAGAAAAATGGATGGACATCATTCTCCCTCACACGCTTCACCTCCTCCTCCTCCTCCTCCACCTCTCACTTTCGCGTTCGCCCTCTCCCTAATACTTGTCAGGCGTCGTAGTTGTAGGCGTATTGGTGAGGGGAAGAAATCGATTTCTTCGGGGCTTTGTGGTGTGATTGCGCGCCAGTCACGAAATTAGTCCAGACTGCATGTCATAGGTGGGGGGGGGGTGGGTCGGTGGTGGTGGTGGTGGAAGCAGTTGCACAAGGCACGCAGGAATTGTGTGCGAAACAGGACGTTAATGCGGAAGCCCAGTTAATGCATCGGTATGCGTATTCAGACAAGCGCCTCGCCAGGCTTCAAGCTGCTCAAACATCGACTACGGTGGACTCAAGGAAGACCGTGTTTTAATTTGGGAAAAGACACAAGTGATTTCAGTTTTGAGTTCACGCAAATCCACTGATCAAAATATCTGAAACTGACAAGTTAGGTGGAGCAAACTGGTAAATATTAAAGCGATGGAACTGACCAATAAGTAAATTACAAAAACAGCTAGAAGTACAGACTGTCTGATAGTGTCAACGTGTTAGACATAAGATACCATAATCAATGGCGGTTGTGCACTTTGTCTGGTATTGATCGATTAAACTTGCTCACTAAGTTCGCACACTTTGCCACTTGGTTGAAGTGCGGTGATGTCGAAACTGCGAACAAAACCTCGGATGTTTGGTCGATAAACTACAAAGAGCTTTACCCCACCCCCCGTCTAGTGGAGTGCACTAGCAGCTCCGACGGGTACTAGTCGGCTCCATGTGACTAACTGCGACGTGGTAAAGGCTAGGATGTTGCCATTTTCGGAATTAGCTACTTCACTTGGACAGGCGTAACAATGAGGACAACCAAGGCAGAATAAAAACAAGAGCTTGTCACATTCTGAGACAGTTTTTTTCCTAATTACATATTGCATCAACCTGAACTTTAACTCGACCTGAAAGTGGCAATTTAGGATCATTTAGGGTTGTGGAAACACTCAGGTAAAAGACCGTCGGTGGAATGGAGTACAAACTGCGGCCTGTGACGTCTAACCAATACACAGGGTGTGGAAGTGATTTGTGCACTGATTGGTAGACACTCTAACCGCCATGTTGTGAGGGCCGAGAACAAACTACCGGAGGTAGTTCGGACAAGTCACGCAACATAAGGAATGCAATTGTATTGGCGAAGCGCTGATGACGTATTGTGTCTCTAGGGGCCGTTTGATACCGAAACCCCGGTTTAGGCACTTGCATGGGTCGCTTCAAACAAAGCTAACGTACACACATTCAGAAGCGCACCCACATAAGTGACGAAGAAGTCAGTGCGCAGGCGCGCATCTGTGAAAGGTAGGAGAAGACTAGGAGGAGGAGGGGGGGAGGAGGAGGAAGAAGGAGGGAGTGGGAGAGGGGGGCTACGCGTGTGTGTGTGCGTGTATGCATAAGCTTGAAGGGGAAGGGAGGGGAGTGAAAACGTCCTGGTATAATTAGGGTGGGTGCAGGCGACACCAGTCTAACAAGTCCCCCCCCTACCTCCTCCTTCTCCTCCTTCCACTGCCTGCCTGTCGATCCGCCCAGACTGCTAGCAGCAGCGGCAGCAGCGCCAAGAGTCGCAGGCCTTAAGAGAATTGCCCCCGGTGCGCGGTAATGTATGGCCATGGGTATCACTTACTACCTCTGTAGGACGCGCGCACGATTTGGAGATTATTTTTTGTGTATGTGACTGGTCAATTAAGGTGCAGCCTAAAATATAAAGCCCTCGCTGCATTTGTGTGCGACAAATACTTTACCACATCGTAAAAAACTTCAGCTGACGAATTGAATCGACACAAGGAATTGTTGTAATTTCAACGGTGGCAATTCGTCCAGATTTTGTTAGCGTGTACAAATTGCACAAATCCAAAAAGCGCGCCAAAATGGAGATTGTGGTTTAAATGGTCTGTTAGCCACACAACTCACATAGTTACGATTAATGTTTCATTAATAGAATCCAACCGTGATTAAATTTAACCAATATTTAAACGCGAAAATAACGCATATGACTTTTAGAGCTAAAATACAACGTGGTGCTCAACGTACATCAGAACACAGTTGTGAAAAGTAGGAACATTTACTGAGAGGAGGATTAAGGGGTCACCAGGCGACTTTGGGGGTAGTTCAGTGTTGTTTTCGCATCGATTAATCGAATCGCACGTCTAAAAAGGCACTACTCGGGTGACCGCGTGACTAAAGTGAGGCAATTTTGGGGCGACATCAAGCACGAGTCACTGACATGCAAAAATACAGTTTGAAATTATAGTTGGATGCATAAATGGCATACGAGGCTTAAAAAGATCAATGTCAGTAAACCAGAATCATTTAGCCACCTTCCAGACGAATTTTGGTCTACAAAACAGAGGGTTGCCTCACCTCGGTCACTGGAAGTTACGTGTCATCAGGGGTGTATTAATCCACAGTGATTGCAATAAATTCCGAATTAATGTTGTGTTGTTAATCCAAATAGGGCGGTAGAGGCGCGTCCTGCAGTGATGACTTCTGATGACTGGGTGTGCGCGTGCCAGACACTAACGCAGAAAAATAAACGCAACAAAAATGCTGGGGCAATGTGTTCTCGCGCATCGTTAACGCGCATGCGGCAATGTGACTGGTCAAGTGGATATGCGCTTCGGTGCGTGTGTGCGTGCGTGCGTGTGTGTGCGTGTCGTACGCTTGTGGACGTAAAAATTAAAGTTGGTGTGCGTGCCTCGGTGTGATGGTCGTGCTTCGAGGACAGCCCCATTGACTGCAATATTCTTGTGAAAAATATGAATGATTGGTACAAATGTTTTAACGAACTGACTTCCGGGGACACGAAAGCCCCACGCGATTTCTAATTTCACAGCTCTCAGATGGAAAGGGATCCGCCTTTGCATAATGTGGTCACTCTATGACAATCTCTAAGGTTAAATTCATTTCCAGAAAAACAGTGAAAAAAGGTCCATCATTACCCGGTGTAGTAAAAAAAGAACTCGATTGTAAATTCTTAGTGCAAAAACCTGTATATGATGCAACAAATGGATGAAATTTCGGCCAAACCGCCGGTTTAGGTCACCTTCGCGAACACGTGTTGCGAAGCGTGTTAGTGGAGGCATCTAATTCAGCATGTGGAAGAGATGGATGTCTTACACCAAGTTGAGGCCAGGTGAATAAGTTCCAAATACACATTTTGTGTCTGAAAATGGGTTCTTCCTGATGCATCATGGAGCTAAGAACGATGCTAAGGTCCCTCAGTGCTAGACCTTCAACTGACCCTTCTACCGTCATTGCGGCGACTGCATACTTAAAACAATGGTCTATAGAAGCGTTCAGCGCTTTGATAAGTTAAAACAATATTAAATTGTCGAGCGAGACCATCTTCTCCACGTACTTGTACCTTTTATCGCCGTAAATCCAAACCCCACATGAACTGATGAACGAAGAGGGCTTCACGAGGACATAATAGGGGCTACGTAGTCATTAGAAGATACTCTTCTTGGGACGTGTTCTAATTTTTCTCAAACTACGGGAAATGCAAGACGTAATATCCTTAGTTAATTACGCGTTTAATAATTCGTATAAACGAAATTAACTGGTGTAACAGCACAATTAAGATCTTTCAAATTAATTAGTTCCGCCTGGTGGCTCAGTTTAGGGTCTGCCGAAGTGAAAATGCTGCTAAAACTGGAAGGCCTGATTATAATTTTTTGATTTTGATGGAGATCCTTAATGGACACTTCCAACGTGTTTATGTAATTTTTTTGCGTGCTCGAAATGCGTGCTTTGTTTAATCCATTTCATTGCCAGTCAAGCTCTGTTCACAGGTTTACTTAAGCCAGCTAAGTGTTGACCTCAAATCGCCTCGTAGACTTTTTTTGTATTTTTCTGCTTGTCAGAGAGTGGTAATGTGTGCACTGGCAAAATTAGGTAACAAATTCGCTCTGATTAAACTTTTTTAAATTCGGACAGCTGATTGTTACTTCGTAGAGGCTGTGGTCGTAAAAAATCAATGATTCAAGGTCACACTGCGGCTGTTGATACTTCCACGAGTAACACAGGTGCGTGAGTGCGTTTGGCACAACAGTAATTAAGTGTTTGTGGCACCTTACCTGACTGTGACGAAAAACCGGATGTTAAATTTAGGCAAACAGGCAGGCAACCACCGGCCTCCTTCATCATCGCAAGTCATCGTGTTTGCAAAGCGGCGAAAGCATTATTTCACTTCTACCCTTCCCTAAAACGCTGCAATCTGCTAGGTGCGTCCATTTGTGCCTAAATTTGGAAAATTCCGCATTTGGTTGGCTGGAGGTCATTGGTTCTAATTTGCCAGCAAACCACAAAGCAGTCACAGTACGGAATGTAACGCTTTAGTCGCTAGGTGGCGATTACGCCGCGTATTTTAGAGCTCTGTGAATGATGCCTGTTTGTTGAATCTAATTTGTTTTGAAGATTGGAATGAACCATTGGCATTTATTGTTACTTGAGCACACGCCCCCATGGGACACGATTCTGTCAGTGTTCAAACTAATAGCATATAAACTCAGATGACTCAAACAGGAGTGTATCAGTTGGACTAAAGCACTCCAAATAGACACAAGCAGCTGCCACAAACAAACGGTTTTTATAACAATAACTTTGATGATCGTACAAAACAAAACTGCCGATCATGAAACATGCGTTGAACTTCGGCACGAGGTAAAAAAAACTAGTTTGTGCATCTGCTCGTGTATTGGTTACCAGGTCGGATGGATGTGTTACGAACGCCCAGCTAATGTCGCTTTCCAGTCTGAGCCAAGGGAGCCACTCATCAACCTCTGGAAATTCTACGCGTGCAGCGTTTTGAAGGCTCAGACAATTTTGCTGGGTATCTTCCTAGGAACCTCCATAAAATTATGCAAATTTTTAGAAAAATTGCACTTTTGGTAATTCAGAAAGGGGGCACTTTGATGAAGTCTGCACTGTCCTGGATAGGAGGGGATATTTATGCCCTTTGAACTTTCTTTGTGTCCATAATTTCATGCTATTTTGACACTTTGTGTAAATGCAATGCACTGGAATCTTCAGTTCATACCTATTTGCTCTCTGAGACGGTGGGGATCGCTACATCGGTGAACGCATAAGCCGTAAAAAATCACCAAGCCATGACAACTATCGTGTGAAACAACTGCCACGTTACCAAGTGAGAAGTGCTTAGCACGTGAGACCTTGTGGCTTGTTTGCTGTCGGGTATTTACCTTTGTGATATAACACATTTGCGTTATTATGGCGTTCCATGCTGACTTGATTATATCGAGGCAATTAGTCTTGGTGTGGTTGCTTGTACGATGGAATCAAACTTGGTACGTAGCTTGAAGCCAGATTTGAAATGTGATGTCTGATTAAGAGATCGCCTGGGCTTCGGCTTCAGCGCCCACGTCTCTAAGATTAGCTACAAACCAAACTACTGAGTTCATTTCAGTTAGCATTTGACGTGATTCTTAAAAGTGACTTAATATTGTCTCCTCTTACCCATGAGCCCATTTCGCAAATTTTGATTTATTGTAGTTAACCACAAGTCAATGAATTTAAACAAGTCCTGACGAAGACAACTTTGTCTTTTTGACAACCATGAAGTTAGTTTTGAATTTATGGGATAAATCTCGCATCTGAACAGTCAAACATTCATGTGAGTTGGCCAGGCATCATAATTGAGCAGCTAAGCAAAAAGCCTTTCAGATCGCTCGGCACATACTGAATAGTTTCAAAGCTCGTATCTAACCCGTTTACTAACCCGCGAGAATCACTGTACTACAGTCGTAAGTAGCATTTATGTGCAGTTAACTTGTGGCCAATGGAAATAACGCTCGTGAACCGATTGAGAAGAGGTTGACAACATGAACAGACTTGCCTGAATAGGGCCACGAAAACGGGAAACGGAAGGCTGTGAGGTGAACTTGGTTACCGTTTTTACAGGCTACAGCCAAAGACGGGGCTGTGGGGTTGGCTATTATCGTCCCTTTACGGCAAATTCAACCCATTAACGCACGACATCCTAACCAATGGCACGCTCTTTCTTCTCCGCCTTTTACAATGCTCCGCCACGTGTTCGGTAGGAGATGTATTGGTGCGAACTCCCACGTGACGCCATAAAAAATTGACAGCACTTTAATCAAACCACTTCACAATTTAGCAAACACAAGCGCTATTGGTTCCGTCGGCTTGAAACGCAAAAATATCCTAACATTTAACATCGGTGCATTCATAATTATGTAACCATAATCGCAGAGCAACACTTACTGAATTTTATTTGTTTAAATTGCAGGTATTTGAAAATCAAGGGATGCAGCTGCTGCTAATTTATTGTTGATATTCAGGCATTGCAGAACACATCGGCCAATCAGAAATTTTGTGAAAATAATCGATCTTGATGAGCCTCAAGGCACAACAATCGATACGGTTTTGGACGCGATTTCACTAAGCGCAGGCTGCAAATTTGACCAGTAATGTGAGAAGCATTAAAATATGCGCCAGTACACAATGCACCATTTGCATTAATCACCTGTGTGTGTGTGTAGGTGACCTCAACACATCTTGCGCCATGTACCATTTGTGTCGTCGGTTTGTAAGATTGCAAACTACGCGAAAGCAGCCAGTTACTTTTCCTG